CCTTGTCTACCTCGTCTACTTCTCCTCCTACCTCCCTCCTTGTCTATCTCGTCTACTTCTCCTCCTACCTCCCTCCTTGTCTACCTCGTCTACTTCTCCTCCTGCCTCCCTCCTTGTCTACCTCGTCTACTTCTCCTCCTACCTCCCTCCTTGTCTACCTCGTCTACTTCTCCTCCTACCTCCCTCCTTGTCTACCTCGTCTACTTCTCCTCCTACCTCCCTCCTTCCCTACCTCTCTCCTTCCATACCTCCTCTATGTCTCCTCCTACCTACTTCCCTCCTTCCTTCCTTACGGTCTCGCGTCATGCAGGTCGGCGTTCAATCTCCGATCGTCCAAGTGGTTGGGCACCATTCCTTTCCCTCCGTCCCATCCCAAATCCTTATCCTGACCCCTTCCCAGTGCTATATAGTCGTAACGGCTTGGCGCTTTACCCTGATATTTCCCTCCCTCCCTCACTCCTCCTCCTCCCCCCTCATTCCTTTCCTCCTCCTCCTCCTCCTCCTCCTGCTCCCCCCCCCCCTTCCCGCTCTTCTCACTGCCGAGAAAATGTCTCAAACGGAAAAGTCTAAATGATTGTCGGTCTTAGGTCACGTCTCCAGCAGTCCTTCCTTGATAAGGCTAAGACTTATGTAAATGTATAATGAAATGTGCCTAAGCTTAGGGTGTGGAGTGTGTGGGGTGTGTGGGTTGGGGAGGGTGTGTGGGCTGGGGAGGGTGTGGGGTGTGTGGGTTGGGGAGGGCGTGGGGTGTGTGGGTTGGGGAGGGTGTGGGGTGTGTGGGTTGGGGAGGGTGTGGGGTGTGTGGGTTGGGGAGGGGGTGAGGTTTGTGGGCTGGGGAGGGTGTGTGGGTTGGGGAGGGTGTGGGGTGTGTGGGTTGGGGAGGGTGTGGGGTGTGTGGGTTGGGGAGGGGGTGAGGTTTGTGGGCTGGGGAGGGTGTGTGGGTTGGGGAGGGTGTGGGGTGTGTGGGTTGGGGAGGGGGTGAGGTTTGTGGGCTGGGGAGGGTGTGTGGGTTGGGGAGGGGGTGAGGTTTGTGGGTTGGGGAGGGTGTGGGGTGTGTGGATTGGGGGAGTTCCGAATACTGTTGCTATCAACACTCTAATACGCTACTAGTTTAAGGTTGGTACAGGCTGAAGAAACTGCCTTGTTAAGCATCCTAACTCGTTATAAGGGGGCGTTGAGAGACAGATCTGTCCTTTACAGTGAGAGGAAATGTCTCCAAAACAACGTCGGAAACTCTCAAATTATTCATTGTTGTGAAAACATATATATGCTCTATGGAGAGATTTAATTTTTGTTCTCCTGAGATTATTCCTGTCTTCCTCAAATCTTTATCTGTCTGTCTGAGATTATTTCTGTCTGTCTGAAATTGCTTCCTGTCCTCTTGAGATTATGTCTGTCTAGATTAGTTTTCTTTTTTTCTGAGATTATTTCCAATATTTCTGACTTTATTTCCTATCTTCCTGATATAATTTTACGTCTTTCTAAAATAATTTTCCTTCTGCGATCATTTTCCTTCTTCTGACATCCTTTTCCGACTTCCTAAGATAATTTCCCATCTTGATGTTATTTCCCAGACAAACGTAGCTCGCTATTAACGGTAGAGCGACGGTTTCGCTTCATGCAGGTCGGCGTTCAATCCCCCGACCGTCCACAAATGGTTGGGCACCATTCCTTCCCCCCGTCCCATCCCAAATCCTGATCCTGACCCCTTCCCAGTGCTATATAGTCGTAATGGCTTGGCGCTTTACCCTAAAACTTTCCTTCCTTCCCTTTCTCACTTCTATCTGATCTTTTCGTCTGTCTGTGTATGTCTGCCTGTCTCTCCCTATTTCTGTCTCTGTTTGTGTGTCTGTCTCTCCCTATTTCTGTCTCTGTAAGTCTGTCTGTCTCTCCCCTATTTCTGTCTCTGTATGTCTGTCTGTCTCTCCCTTTTTCTGTCTCTGTTTGTCTGCCTGTCTCTCCCTTTTTCTGTCTCTGTTTGTCTGCCTGTCTTCCCCTATTTCTGTCTCTGTTTGTCTGTCTGTTTTCCCCTATTTCTGTCTCTGTATGTCTGCATGTCTTTCCACTATTTCTGTCTCTGTTTGTCTGTCTGTCTCTCCCTTTTTCTGTCTCTGTATGTCTGTCTGTCTTCCCCTATTTCTGTCTCTGTTTGTCTGTCTGTTTTCCCCTATTTCTGTCTCTGTATGTCTGCATGTCTTTCCACTATTTCTGTCTCTGTATGTCTGTCTGTCTCTCCCTTTTTCTGTCTCTGTATGTCTGCCTGTCTTCCCCTATTTCTGTCTCTGTTTGTCTGTCTGTTTTCCCCCTATTTCTGTCTCTGTATGTCTGCATGTCTTTCCACTATTTCTGTCTCTGTTTGTCTGTCTGTCTCTCCCTTTTTCTGTCTCTGTATGTCTGTCTGTCTTCCCCTATTTCTGTCTCTGTTTGTCTGTCTGTTTTCCCCCTATTTCTGTCTCTGTATGTCTGCATGTCTTTCCACTATTTCTGTCTCTGTATGTCTGTCTGTCTCTCCCTTTTTCTGTCTCTGTATGTCTGCCTGTCTTCCCCTATTTCTGTCTCTGTTTGTCTGTCTGTTTTCCCCCTATTTCTGTCCCTGTATGTCTGCCTGTCTCCCCCTATTTCTGTCTCTGTATGTCTGCCTGTCTCCCCCTATTTCTGTCTCTGTATGTCTGCCTGTCTCTCCCTATTTCTGTCTCTGTATGTCTGTCTGTCTCTCCCTTTTTCTGTCTCTGTTTGTCTGTCTGTCTCTCCCTATTTCTGTCTCTGTTTGTCTGTCTGTCTCTCCCTTTTTCTGTCTCTGTTTGTCTGCCTGTCTTCCCCTATTTCAGTCTCTGTATGTCTGCCTGTCTCTCCCTATTTCTGTCTCTGTATGTCTGTCTGTCTCTCCCTTTTTCTGTCTCTGTTTGTCTGTCTGTCTTTCCCCTATTTCTGTCTCTGTATGTCTGTGTGTCTTCCCCTATTTCTGTCTCTGTATGTCTGCCTGTCTCTCCCTTTTTCTGTCTCTGTTTGTCTGTCTTCCCCCTATTTCTGTCTCTGTATGTCTGCCTGTCTTCCTCTATTTCTGTTTCTGTATGTCTGCCTGTCTTCCCCCTATTTCTGTCTCTGTATGTCTGCCTGTCTCACCCTATTTCTGTCTCTGTTTGTCTGCCTGTCTTCCGCTATTTCTGTCTCTGTATGTCTGCCTGTCTTCCCCTATTTCTGTCTCTGTATGTCTGCCTGTCTCCCCGTATTTCTGTCTCTCATTATCCTGCATATATCTCATATAAGCAGCAATTTTCTCTTGATCTGTCATACAGGTTCTTTAACTGTCTGCAGTCCTTTCATCTATATAACACTCCTATTCCATTTAGGCGCCCGAGGCTGTCATTGTCTGGCGACTTCATCCGCGCCTTGCATGTCAGCTGGCCGGCGACTCCCGCTGTTAAAGGGGAGAAATCAGTGCGAGAGCAGAGCAAGTCTACGGTCCCAACCCGCCGGGTTTTAGTACTGACTGCCTTCGGCACGCTCTGTCTCTGTCTGCTCTCTCTCTGTCCGCTCTCTCTCTCTCTCTCTCTCTCTCTCTCTCTCTCTCTCTCTCTCTCTCTCTCTCTCTCTCTCTCTCTCTCTCTCTCTCTCTCTCTCTCTCTCTCTCTCTCTCTCTCTCTCTCTCTCTCTCTCTCTCTCTCTCTCTCTCTCTCTCTCTCTCTCTCTCTCTCTCTCTCTCTCTCTCTCTCTCTCTCTGTCAGTCTATAGTCAGCAGCCTATGGCCAAAGGTTGCCATAGTGCTCAGTGATGGGTGGCATATGTCCGCGGGGCAGCCCGTCCTCCAAAAATGGGGTGGTAAATGTAAGAAGACAAAATAAGTGCAATTATGTACTATTCATAGCAGTTAGGAATTGTACTTATTTTCACTTAGTATTAAATCGTACTGTCAAATATATTGTGAATATTTGAGTTTACCTGAAAAACTGAATAGAAAACCACAACCTCACCTAACCGTCTTAGTTTTTGAAGATAATAATTTTATTGCTTCTTAATTACAATTAGTACTTAACCTATAGCTATATTGATATTACAGTTTTATTAAACAAATAAAACAAAACTAAAATATATCAATAAATTGTAAAGTAACTCAGGATCTTTTAAAATTTTGTATAAAATCTATATTGTTTAATAAACCTGAAAAAGAAATTCCTGATATTTAAAACTTGTGTACAGCAAGTTGAAATTGAAATCTTCATCCTAAAGTTCTGAGTGTCTTAACAGAAAACGAGGAGAATCAAATCGGCGGAGGGTAAATGTAACAGCCCCATAAGTGTAATTATGCACTGTTTATGACAGTGAGAAAGTGTACTTATTACACTTAGTATTAAATCGTACTGTCAATTCGGAGGATGGGTTGCCGCGGGGACATATCCCAGACGCGACGAAGGAGGGTGGTTCCCGAGGGATGGCAGTATTACATAGGTACTACACACGGTCTTGATGTCATGAACGACTAATACAGGCAAAGTCTGATAGTTAGAATTTTGTTGAAAACTTTGTAAACATCAGTGGTGAATGTTTTATATATTATACTAAGAAAAACAGAAACAGAAAAAAATATTTCTCAGTCCAGTTAGATTAATATTCGAAGAATCGTCATAGGGATCTTATAAGCAGACGGAATTATTTTGTTTTCTGTTTGTATTGTTTTCTATATATATATATATATATATATATATATATATATATATATATATATATATATATATATATATATATATATATATATATATATATATATATATATACCCAGGCTGAGAATTTGTTCTCGGCCCTACGAGCTCCTGTTGCTGGGCCAATTCATCAATCTACTTTTACCAATTTCTAGCAATTGCGTCAAATTTGAATTAATAATTTTTTTGTTTACATTGGAATGATCCTCGAGCACCATTTATGGTTTTCACACTGTAATGGTGAGCTTGGTGCTGACACTGACAAGTGTCAGGAGGTTGAGGAAGTGTTGCTCCGTGTTGCAGGGATGTGGATGGTGACCCAGCCGACCACGACTGGTGGAGAGGAATTGTGGTTATCCGGCTAGGAAGGTAGGCCACCTCAGGTCAGGAAATTGTTGTGACCTGGTTGGTGGTGGTTGTTGTGGTGATGGGGGATGGTGGTGGTGGTGGTGGTGGCGTCTTAACATTGTTCTTTGGTGGTGGGAGTTGTACAGTGTACTGGTGTTGGTTGTGGGTTATTTTTAACAACAGTACATCATGGTCGTTACCAGTAACAACCACAACAACAACAACAACAATAATAATAATAATAATAATATTAATAATAATAATAATAATAATTATAATAATAATCACTATTCCCATTTCTGATGGTTGAAGACCCTGAAGTCTCATCGCCCTATTTAAACCAATTTACTGAATCGGAAGCTTTTCGCTAAGGTACATTTCAGCATATTCAGAGGAAGAGGAAAGGCACGCGTAAATTCAAGCAGTCAAGCTTCAAGCTCCAGAAGTCAAGCTTCAAGCCTCACGTACCCCAGAAGTCAAGCTTCAAGCTTCACGTACCCCAGAATTCAAGCTTCAAGTACCCCAGAAGTCAAGCTTCAAGCTTCACGTACCCCAGAAGTTAAGTTTCAAGCCTCACGTACCCCAGAAGTCAAGCTTCAAGCCTCACGTACCCCAGAAGTCAAGCTTCAGGTCACACGTACCCCAGAAATCAAGCTTCAAGCCTCACGTACCTCAGAAGTCAAGCTTCAAGCCTCACGTACCCCAGAAGTCAAGCTTCAAGCCTCACGTACCCCAAAAGTCAAGCTTCAAGCCTCACGTACCCCAGAAGTCAAGCTTCAAGCCTCACGTACCCCAGAAGTCAAGCTTCAAGCCTCACGTACCCCAGAAGTCAAGCTTCAAGCCTCACGTACCCCAGAAGTCAAGCTTCAAGCCTCACGTACCCCAGAAGTCAAGCTTCAAGCCTCACGTACCCCAGAAGTCAAGCTTCAAGCCTCACGTACCCCAGAAGTCAAGCTTCAAGCCACACGTACCCCAGAAGTCAAGCTTCAAGCCTCACGTACCCCAGAAGTCAAGCTTGAAGGACAAAGCCATTAATGAACAGTTCAGTGGGTCCAGAGATCACAGGTTCGCATCCCGGCTAGTTAGCGACGATAGAACTATTGGCCTTTACCAAAGTCAACGGAATGATCCCATCAGAGCCGGCTGCAATGTGATCAACTCAGAGCCGGTTGCTAAGCTTGTTATTGCATACTGCGCGGTCACCTTGCAACCCGGAACCGGTTTGCTGTGATCAACACGCGATGTGTGGCAATTAACTAGGACGGTTGGGGATCTGAACCTTTGTTTTGTAAACAATGGTTCAGGTCCTCCTCTGGGTTCTCATCCCCATGAACCAGCACATGAGCGCTGAGCAGGACTACTGGTTCTCACCCAAGAACCGCTCAGCATAATTCCTGGAGACTGTTATGACCCCCGGAGGAGCCACACTCAGATAACCGCCTCTATGTTGGCTGATTGTAAGGGTCACTTTACCGCCTTCGTTTTCTTTATTTTTTTCCAGCGAGTTCAGGGTATGATGATAACATGATAACTGATAACTTTTTGATTATAACTTAATTTTCTCTTAACGATAACTTGATAACTAAATGATAAGTCGATTATCACTTAATAATAACTTGATAACTAAATGATAACTTGATAACTAAATGATAACTTGATAACTAAATGATAACTTGATAATTAATAGATAATAACTTGATGAAATTTTGATTATTGCTTGATGATATCTTGATTATCAATTGATGATAACTTGATTATTATTTGATGATAACTTCATAATAACTTGATAACTTCATAATAACTTGATGATAAGATGATTATTGGTTGATAACTTAATTATTATGATGATTACTTATTTATCATGATGATTACTTATTTATAACTTGACGATAACTTTATTATCACTTGATGATAACTACATGATAACTACGTTAATACTTGATAATTAGTTGATAATAATTTTAAGATAACTTGATTATTGGTTCATCAGAACTTGATTATTAATTCATGAAATTTAATAATAACTTGATAACTTTATAACTTGATAAATACTTGATAATAACTTAATGATAAATTGATTATTGCTTGTTGATAACTTTATTATTACTTGATGATAATCTGGTAATAACTTGAGAATAGCGTGATGATCAGCTGAAAATAACTTAATGATAACAAAAAAATTCCCATAACATGTTTCAGGCATCATGGCTATGTTGCAGGCCTCATAGCTATATTGTAGGCCTCATGGCTATGTTGCAGGTCTCATAGCTATGTTGCAGGCCTCATGGCTATGTTGCAGGCCTCATGGCTATGTTGCAGGCCTCATAGCTATATTGTAGGCCTCATGGCTATGTTGCAGGTCTCATAGCTATGTTGCTTGACTCATGATCTCAATAACCGCCATCTTAACTCATTTCTCCCCATGACCCATGGTCTCCGCCCCCCCCCCCAAATTTCCATCTTTTCTCCATGACGTCATGATTCCCTTTTCCCTCTGTTCCATCTCTCCTCTCTTACACCTTACACCCCATTTTCTCCCTCATGGCACCCCACATAAACCATGACCCCTCCCCCCCCCCGCCCTTCACTCTCTCTCCCCCCCCCACCGATGGGATAACCCCCCCCCTACCATTACGCTTTTGATATTTATGGTATATATGATATTTATATCATAGTTTATATAATTTATATAAAAAATATGATTATAAATATATTAATTTATATATCAATTATGATATTTTTATCATAAATATACCCTGGTTATTCCTCTTCGGAAGCCAGAAGCAACAGCACGATTGATCTAACTTTGAATGCCTTTAAAAATGAGTAATATTGTATGTGTGATTCGCCTAACTGTTGCTGACGCATGGGGATCGTCATTACGCATGGGGTAATACGCCCTATTGCGTCCTGAAGCCCCCACCCCCCTGCGTCAAGCTCCCCCCCCTCCCCACCTAACATGTTATGGGAACTAAATTATGCCAATAAAACCCCGCTGGAAGCCTCATTCAGATCAAGAGAGGAATGCCAGGCCTCTGTACATGTTAAAATGAACCTTATACACTACTACAATAGAGATGAGTTCACGCTGAAGGATGATCCAGGTTCTAAAAGTCTCGTCCAACTGTGCAGTTTGTATATTGGAAAGAAGCTAAATCGTTCTTAAGTTGCATATACATTTGCGAATTTCCACCATCTTGGGATATTATTTGTGTAGAAGTAAGTGATTTTTCCTTATTATTAAAGAGCAAGGTTGGCTTGGGTGTGGGTGTAGCAGCTCTGGAGGGCTGGGTGGTGTAGCAGCTCTGGAGGGCTGGGTGGTGGTGGTGTAGCAGCTCTGGAGGGCTGGGTGGTGCTGGGTGGTGTAGCAGCTCTGGAGGGCTGGGTGGTGATGGTGTAGCAGCTCTGGAGGGCTGGGTGGTGGTGGTGGTGTAGCAGCTCTGGAGGGCTGGGTGGTGGGTGGTGTAGCAGCTCTGGAGGGCTGGGTGGTGGGTGGTGTAGCAGCTCTGGAGGGCTGGGTGGTGGTGGGTGGTGTAGCAGCTCTGGAGGGCTGGGTGGTGGTGGTGTAGCAGCTCTGGAGGGCTGGGTGGTGGTGGTGGTGTAGCAGCTCTGGAGGGCTGGGTGGTGGTGGTGGTGTAGCAGCTCTGGAGGGCTGGGTGGTGGTGGTGGTGTAGCAGCTCTGGAGGGCTGGGTGGTGCTGGGTGGTGTAGCAGCTCTGGAGGGCTGGGTGGTGGTGGTGGTGTAGCAGCTCTGGAGGGCTGGGTGGTGCTGGGTGGTGTAGCAGCTCTGGAGGGCTGGGTGGTGGTGGTGGTGTAGCAGCTCTGGAGGGCTGGGTGGTGGTGGTGGTGTAGCAGCTCTGGAGGGCTGGGTGGTGGGGGGTGGTGTAGCAGCTCTGGAGGGCTGGGTGGTGTAACAGCTCTGGCGGGCTGGGTGGTGGTGGGTGGTGTAGCAGCTCTGGAGGGCTGGATGGTGTAGCAGCTCTGGAGGGCTGGGTGGTGATGGTGTAGCAGCTCTGGAGGGCTGGGTGGTGGGTGGTGTAGCAGCTCTGGAGGGCTGGATGGTGGGTGGTGTAGCAGCTCTGGAGGGCTGGGTGGTGTAGCAGCTCTGGAGGGCTGGGTGGTGATGGTGTAGCAGCTCTGGAGGGCTGGGTGGTGTAGCAGCTCTGGAGGGCTGGGTGGTGTAGCAGCTCTGGAGGGCTGGGTGGTGATGGTGTAGCAGCTCTGGAGGGCTGGGTGGTGGTGGTGTAACAGCTCTGGAGGGCTGGGTGGTGGTGGTGGTGTAGCAGCTCTGGAGGGCTGGGTGGTGGTGGTGGTGTAGCAGCTCTGGAGGGCTGGGTGGTGTAGCAGCTCTGGAGGGCTGGGTGGTGTAGCAGCTCTGGAGGGCTGGGTGGTGTAGCAGCTCTGGAGGGCTGGGTGGTGTAGCAGCTCTGGAGGGCTGGGTGGTGATGGTGTAGCAGCTCTGGAGGGCTGGGTGGTGTAGCAGCTCTGGAGGGCTGGGTGGTGTAGCAGCTCTGTAGGGCTGGGTGGTGATGGTGTAGCAGCTCTGGAGGGCTGGGTGGTGTAGCAGCTCTGGAGGGCTGGGTGGTGTAGCAGCTCTGGAGGGCTGGGTGGTGGTGGGTGGTGTAGCAGCTCTGGAGGGCTGGGTGGTGTAGCAGCTCTGGAGGGCTGGGTGGTGGTGGGTGGTGTAGCAGCTCTGGAGGGCTGGGTGGTGGTGGGTGGTGTAGCAGCTCTGGAGGGCTGGGTGGTGGTGTAGCAGCTCTGGAGGGCTGGGTGGTGGTGGGTGGTGTAGCAGCTCTGGAGGGCTGGGTGGTGGTGGGTGGTGTAGCAGCTCTGGAGGGCTGGGTGGTGCTGGTGGTGTAGCAGCTCTGGAGGGCTGGGTGGTGGTGGGTGGTGTAGCAGCTCTGGAGGGCTGGGTGGTGGTGGTGTAGCAGCTCTGGAGGGCTGGGTGGTGGTGGGTGGTGTAGCAGCTCTGGAGGGCTGGGTGGTGTAGCAGCTCTGGAGGGCTGGGTGGTGGTGGTGGTGTAGCAGCTCTGGAGGGCTGGGTGGTGGTGGTGGTGTAGCAGCTCTGGAGGGCTGGGTGGTGGTGGTGGTGTAGCAGCTCTGGAGGGCTGGGTGGTGTAGCAGCTCTGGAGGGCTGGGTGGTGTAGCAGCTCTGGAGGGCTGGGTGGTGTAGCAGCTCTGGAGGGCTGGGTGGTGTAGCAGCTCTGGAGGGCTGGGTGGTGGTGGGTGGTGTAGCAGCTCTGGAGGGCTGGGTGGTGGTGGGTGGTGTAGCAGCTCTGGAGGGCTGGGTGGTGTAGCAGCTCTGGAGGGCTGGGTGGTGGTGGTGGTGTAGCAGCTCTGGAGGGCTGGGTGGTGGTGGTGGTGTAGCAGCTCTGGAGGGCTGGGTGGTGGTGGTGGTGTAGCAGCTCTGGAGAGCTGGGTGGTGTAGCAGCTCTGGAGGGCTGGGTGGTGTAGCAGCTCTGGAGGGCTGGGTGGTGTAGCAGCTCTGGAGGGCTGGGTGGTGTAGCAGCTCTGGAGGGCTGGGTGGTGGTGGTGGTGTAGCAGCTCTGGAGGGCTGGGTGGTGGTGGGTGGTGTAGCAGCTCTGGAGGGCTGGGTGGTGGTGGTGGTGTAGCAGCTCTGGAGGGCTGGGTGGTGGTGGTGGTGTAGCAGCTCTGGAGGGCTGGGTGGTGGTGGGTGGTGTAGCAGCTCTGGAGGGCTGGGTGGTGGTGGGTGGTGTAGCAGCTCTGGAGGGCTGGGTGGTGGGTGGTGTAGCAGCTCTGGAGGGCTGGGTGGTGGTGGTGGTGTAGCAGCTCTGGAGGGCTGGGTGGTGGTGGTGGTGTAGCAGCTCTGGAGGGCTGGGTGGTGGGGGGTGTAGCAGCTCTGGAGGGCTGGGTGGTGTAGCAGCTCTGGAGGGCTGGGTGGTGGTGGTGGTGTAGCAGCTCTGGAGGGCTGGGTGGTGGTGGGTGGTGTAGCAGCTCTGGAGGGCTGGGTGGTGTAACAGCTCTGGAGGGCTGGGTGGTGTAGCAGCTCTGGAGGGCTGGGTGGTGGTGGTGGTGTAGCAGCTCTGGAGGGCTGGGTGGTGGTGGGTGGTGTAGCAGCTCTGGAGGGCTGGGTGGTGTAGCAGCTCTGGAGGGCTGGGTGGTGGTGGGTGGTGTAGTAGCTATGGAGGGCTGGGTTGTGGGTGGTGTAACAGCTCTGGAGGGCTGGGTGGTGGTGGGTGGTGTAGCAGCTCTGGCGGGCTGGGTGGTGGTGGTGTAGCAGCTCTGGAGGGCTGGGTGGTGGTGGGTGGTGTAGCAGGTCTGGAGGGCTGGGTGGTGGTGGTGGTGTAGCAGCTCTGGAGGGCTGGGTGGTGTAGCAGCTCTGGAGGGCTGGGTGGTGGTGGGTGGTGTAGCAGCTCTGGAGGGCTGGGTGGTGGTGGGTGGTGTAGCAGCTCTGGAGGGCTGGGTGGTGGGGGGTGTAGCAGCTCTGGAGGGCTGGGTGGTGTAGCAGCTCTGGAGGGCTGGGTGGTGGGTGGTGTAGCAGCTCTGGAGGGCTGGGTGGTGGTGGTGTAGCAGCTCTGGAGGGCTGGGTGGTGGGTGGTGGGTGTAGCAGCTCTGGAGGGCTGGGTGGTGGGTGGTGTAGCAGCTCTGGAGGGCTGGGTGGTGGGTGGTGGGTGTAGCAGCTCTGGAGGGCTGGGTGGTGGTGGTGGTGTAGCAGCTCTGGAGGGCTGGGTGGTGGGTGGTGGGTGTAACAGCTCTGAAGGGTTGGGTGCTGGGTGGTGGGTGTAACAGCTCTGGAGGGCTGGGTGGTGGTGATGGAGTAACAGCTCTGGAGGGCTGGGTGGTGGGTGGTGTAACAGCTCTGGAGGGCTGGGTGGTGGTGGTGGGTGTAACAGCTCTGGAGGGCTGGGTGGTGGGTGGTGTAACAACTCTGGAGGGCTGGGTGGTGGTGGTGGGTGTAACAGCTCTGGAGGGTTGGGTGCTGGGTGGTGGAGCAGCTCTGGAGGGCTGGGTGGTGGTGGGTGTAGCAGCTCTGGAGGGCTGGGTGGTGGGTGGTGGAGCAGCTCTGGAGGGCTGGGTGGTGGTGGTGTAGCAGCTCTGGAGGGCTGGGTGGTGGTGGGTGTAGCAGCTCTGGAGGGCTGGGTGGTGGTGGTGTAACATCTCTGAAGGGCTGGGTGGTGGTGGTGGTGTAACAGCTCTGAAGGGCTGGGTGGTGGTGGTGTAACAGCTCTGAAGGGCTGGGTGGTGGTGGTGGGTGTAGCAGCTCTGGAGGGCTGGGTGGTGGTGGTGTAACAGCTCTGAAGGGCTGGGTGGTGGTGGTGGGTGTAGCAGCTCTGGAGGGCTGGGTGGTGGTGGTGTAGCAGCTCTGGAGGGCTGGGTGGTGGTGGTGGTGTAACAGCTCTGAAGGGCTGGGTGGTGGTGGTGGTGTAACAGCTCTGAAGGGCTGGGTGGTGGTGGTGGTGTAACAGCTCTGAAGGGCTGGGTGGTGGTGGTGGTGTAACAGCTCTGAAGGGCTGGGTGGTGGTGGGTGGTGTAGCAGCTCTGGAGGGCTGGGTGGTGGGTGGTGGAGCAGCTCTGGAGGGCTGGGTGGTGGTGGTGTAGCAGCTCTGGAGGGCTGGGTGGTGGTGGGTGTAGCAGCTCTGGAGGGCTGGGTGGTGGGTGGTGGAGCAGCTCTGGAGGGCTGGGTGGTGGTGGTGTAACAGCTCTGGAGGGCTGGGTGGTGGTGGTGGGTGTAACAGCTCTGGAGGGCTGGGTGGTGGTGGTGGGTGTAACAGCTCTGGAGGGCTGGGTGGTGGTGGTGGTGGGTGTAACAGCTCTGGAGGGCTGGGTGGTGGTGGTGGTGTAGCAGCTCTGGAGGGCTGGGTGGTGGTGGTGGGTGTAACAGCTCTGGAGGGCTGGGTGGTGGTGGTGGGTGTAACAGCTCTGGAGGGCTGGGTGGTGGTGGTGGTGGGTGTAACAGCTCTGGAGGGCTGGGTGGTGGTGGTGGTGTAGCAGCTCTGGAGGGCTGGGTGGTGGTGGTGGTGGGTGTAACAGCTCTGGAGGGCTGGGTGGTGGTGGTGGTGTAGCAGCTCTGGAATGCTGGGTGGTGGTGGTGGTGTAGCAGCTCTGGAGGGCTGGGTGGTGGTGGTGGTGGTGGGTGTAACAGCTCTGGAGGGCTGGGTGGTGGTGGTGGGTGTAACAGCTCTGGAGGGCTGGGTGGTGGTGGGTGGTGGAGCAGGTTTGCAACAAATAAAAATAGGAGCATGTTACGTGTTACTCTCACGAGGCTCACAGTGTAGGAAATATATTTGAGAAGTGAAAAACATTTTTGGTGTGAGAACTTGTGGCGCTGTGAAGGTTGTTCTCCCTTCTTGCCTGCCTTCCCTTACTGCCTGGCTTATTATACTCTCTCTCTCTCTCTCTCTCTCTCTCTCTCTCTCTCTCTCTCTCTCTCTCTCTCTCTCTCCGAAACACCTATAACACATGTACACCTCACAACTATAACACATGTACACCTCGCAACTATAGTACATGTACAATCAACCCGACTATTAGTGCCGTCAGCGTTCGCAGCACACAACATCTGGAGACGGAAACGTCGATATATATATCATTTATATATATCAATATATCACATAAGCTTCCGGACCGTACAGGATTCGAACCCAAGCCGTCCCCGTCAACACTGCTGGTAATCTGACCACTGTACCAGCGGTCGTATACACCGACACATATAAAGGGTTTGTTGAAACAGCTGTGTCAAAATATACCACGAGTGTCGCCGGGGAATGATCAGTCATGGAGCTTAGTTAATATATCAACACCAGGAGCAGGGGGTACCCGGTGGTGCCCGGGGTAGTTTATATGTATGTATGTATGTATGTCTCCTATACTTATCTCTCTGTCTTTCTCTCTCGTCTCTTTATCTCTCTATCTTTACCTGGCTCTTTCTCTAACTAAATTTCTACCTATCTCTCTTTAAATATATATCTCTATCTGTACACTTTCTATATCTTTATCTTTCTCAAACTATAATCTCTCTCTTTCTCTCTCTGTCATCGTAGGCAATAATAGTACAGCTGATGCCATCTATCCGCAGAAAACTGCACTATCGACAGGTTAGGTTAGCAGCAGCCCATAAGAGGCAGCTGGTGCCACCTATTAGCATTAAATTAATCTATCAACAAGCAACATGTAAGATACAGCTGGTGCCATCTATTGGGAGAACATTGCACTATCAAGAGACCAACAGCAGCCCATAAGGCGGGTTGTTGTGCTGGAGGAAGCATTCCCGCGCTTGTATCTCATTGGTTGAAACGCTTTGTTGACATTCACCACAACAGCCAATCACGCTACGGGTTTAGCTACATGCTCCGCCCACTTTAATATTTTATCGGTGTTCAGCACACCAACCCACTTATGACAGTCTGTTGATACAAGAATCTACACAAAAAGTTAACTTTTCAATTAATTACGTAGCCTCAACTGATACCTGGAACTCTCCTTCTCCCTCCACGTAGCCTCTACTGATACCTGGGACTCTGCTGCTCCCTCCACTGATGCCTGAGACTCTGCTCCTCCCTCCACTGATACCTGTGACTCTGCTCCACCCTCCACTGATACCTGAGACTCTGCTCCACCCTCCACTGATACCTGAGACTCTGCTCCTCCCTCCACTGATACCTGTGACTCTGCTCCACCCTCCACCTATACCTGTGACTCTGCTCCTCCCTCCACGTAGCCCGTACTGATATCCCCGACCTGCCCCCAGACTGGGGAACCACGTGGTGCTGCTGCTGTCGACGACGATGCTGGCGGTGACGCTGGCCGTGATCCCTTACTGCACGGTGCTGGGGTGGCTGGCGGCGGTGCTGGCGCTCATGGGCTTCTTCATGGGCACCATCGACACCGTGGCCAACATCTCCATGATCCAGCTCTACGGTATGAATGTGGCGCCTTTCCTGCAGGTGAGTGAAGCATTGCTGTCTTTGGCGCTTGGATTTATGCCGGGTTTTTTTAGGATATATATGTTTTTTTTTACTCAATGGGTCTTGTAATTGTTTGTTGACAAGCGATTTTATTTTTTGCATGGGTTCTCCAGAAAATGAGTCGTGGTGTATATTTGGTTTACACGAAATAATGGAGCAGAAGAAAATAGTCCTCTTTCAACGGTTCTACACCTCGACAAACCTTACTCTAGCGTTTACCAATTAAATGAGCTCTCGGCCAAACGAGGCCTCTACCAAACCAACCCTCCACCAAACCAACCCTCCACCAAACCATCCCTCTACCAAACCAACCCTCCACCAAACCAACCCTCCACCAAACCATCCCTCCACCAAACCAACCCTCCACCAAACCATCCCTCTACCAAACCAACCCTCCACCAAACCAACCCTCCACCAAACCAACCTTCCACCAAACCATCCCTCCACCAAACTATCCCTCCACCAAACCAACCCTCCACCAAACCAACCCTCCACCAAACCAACCCTCCACCAAACCAACCCTCCACCAAACCATCCCTCCACCAAACCAACCCTCCACCAAACCATCCCTCCACCAAACCAACCCTCCACCAAACCAACCCTCCACCAAACCAACCCTCCACCAAACTATCCCTCCACCAAACCAACCCTCCACCAAACCAACCCTCCACCAAACCAACCCTCCACCAAACCAACCCTCCACCAAACCATCCCTCCACCAAACCAACCCTCCACCAAACCAACCCTCCACCAAACCATCCCTCCACCAAACCAACCCTCCACCAACACTCCTCCCCCCCCCACAGACCATCTTTCAAGCGTCTCTCCACCTCAATATGAGAAGATCAAGGAAGCCCGGACATCTTACAGTGATAAGCTTCCGATATTCACAATGAATATCAATATCTTCAAATCTTCTGACCATAGAATATTCCTCTGCGATTACAGGGTCGGGCAATATTAATCTCTCTCGTGTTATGGGGTAATGTGGAGAGCAATATCTTTTGACTCAATGTTTACACATGGCATTAAATTAAGGCAGTGTTGACTACTGGAGGTTTTCATTGTTTTCTGAAAAGATCGATTCAGCGAGAATTTCGAAAGTTTTTTTATAGATTTCATTCAACGATTCATGAGGAATGGGTAGGCCTGCTCTTTCTTGCTTGAGAGTTCCACAGCTCTTTGGTGGAGCTCTCAAGCTGTTTGGTGAAGTTGTTCACTTGAACCAGTTAAGCAAGTCTCAGCTGTGTCTGGGTACAAGTGACAGGATGAACAACCCAGCGGGTTTTCTTCCTATTGGGGAGTGTTGTACATGCTGCTATGGCGGTGTGTCCACTCACAGGATGAGTGGCGCTGCCCAATACTGTCACTATGGCGGTGTGTTCACTCACAGGATGAGTGGCGCTGCCCAATACTGTCACTATGGCGGTGTGTTCACTCACAGGATGAGGGGCGCTGCCCAATACTGTCACTATGGCGGTGTGTCCACTCACAGGATGAGTGGCGCTGCCCAATACTGTCACTATGGCGGTGTGTCCTTTCACAGGATGAGTGGCGCTGCCCAATACTGTCACTATGGCGGTGTGTCCACTCACAGGATGAGTGGCGCTGCCCAATACTGTCACTATGGCGGTGTGTCCACTCACAGGATGAGTGGCGCTGCCCAATACTGTCACTATGGCGGTGTGTCCTTTCACAGGATGAGTGGCGCTGCCCAATACTGTCACTATGGCGGTGTGTCCTTTCACAGGATGAGTGGCGCTGCCCAATACTGTCACTATGGCGGTGTGTCCACTCACAGGATGAGTGGCGCTGCCCAATACTGTCACTATGGCGGTGTGTCCACTCACAGGATGAGTGGCGCTGCCCAATACTGTCACTATGGCGGTGTGTCCTTTCACAGGATGAGTGGCGCTGCCCAATACTGTCACTATGGCGGTGTGTCCTTTCACAGGATGAGTGGCGCTGCCCAATACTGTCACTATGGCGGTGTGTCCACTCACAGGATGAGTGGCGCTGCCCAATACTGTCACTATGGCGGTGTGTCCACTCACAGGATGAGTGGCGCTGCCCAATACTGTCACTATGGCGGTGTGTCCACTCACAGGATGAGTGGCGCTGCTCAATACTGTCACTATGGCGGTATGTCCACTCACAGGATGAGTGGCGCTGCCCAATAAACTTGCCTTTCGGGGGAAAAAATCGATGCCTTTCAGATGACCAGTGAAGCACCGACTATGAAGCTCTCCCTCTCTCTACAACTCCCCTTCTCCCTCTCTCTCAACTCTCAGGGAAAGGTGAAAGTTCAGGAAAGGTGTTGAAGGATCCGCCAAACAAGTACTCACCTAGTTGTACTTGCGGGGGGTTGAGCTACGGCTCTTTGGTCCCGCCTCTCGACCACCAATCAACTGGTGGAATGCGCAGCGTAGACCGGGGTCTGAATGTGTTTACAACCAAAGGAGAACCACAGTGAAAAACATGAACTTGAGTGCACTGGTTCGAGGTAAGGTTTAAAGTCTCGCTGAATGGGAGTTATTATGTCATTAGCGAGAGCTTGGCTCTCTCTCAGTCTGGAAACTTGATTTTTTGAGCTTGAAACTTGAAACTTGGTTTCTATTTGAGGAGCAGCGTAATTGACGTCCCTCGAGGGTGGCCTTCTATAACCGTTGTAACGGAGCTAATGATTTGAACGGTCGAAACGGTCCTAACGGTCTCAACGGGCGTAACAATTCTAACGGTCGAAACAGTTCTAACAGTCTCAACGGTCGTAACAATTCTAACGGTCGAAACAGTTCTAACAGTCTCAACGGTCGTAACAATTCTAACGGTCGAAACAGTCCTAACGATCACAACGGTCATTTCAATTCTAACGGTTGAAACAGTCCTAACGATCTTAACGGTCCAAACAATTCTAACGGTCGCAACAGTCCTAACGGTCTTAACGGTCGTAACAATTTAAATCCATCGTAACACTGTTGACAAAGCAGTTCGCTACGAGATCTCTACAAGAAACATGATTAACAAGCAGCTAAACCACCAGTTTAATAATAAACACACACACACACACACACACACACACACACACACACACACACACACACACACACACACACACACACACACACACACACACACACACACACACACACACACACACACACACACACACACACACACACACACACACACACACACACACACACACACACACACACACACACACACACACACACACACACACACACACAAACACACGACATCTATCAACTAGCCACATTGGCTACCATATTCGTGGTTTTCAAGATCAGATTATGACCTGTAGATAACCAGAATACAACAGGTTCGATCATCTGTTGCTTCATTAATTAACCCCAAGTCTCAGTTGGGCAATTAAGGCTGCTCATAGCCTAGTCGATAGAGCGTCGGCCTCATATGCTTGGGGCTCACTCTTCGGGTTCGAATCTCCCACAGGTAAATGGAATGTTTATTTTCAGGGAAGTGTGGATGACAATTTATATCTTAGTATATCACTTATACTCACCTATATATATATATATATATATATATATATATATATATATATATATATATATATATATATATATATATATATATATATATATATTGTAATACTCAGAAGGTGAGATGTTTCTGGAAGTAGAATGCAAATGTGATTGCCAGAGAGAGAACTAGTGAAGGGTGGAGAAAGGCCTCACTCTTATGGGGAGTCACGTAGGCTCCAGTGCCACCAGGGAGGGCCAGGTGTGTGGTGGTAGAGGCAGCCACCAGGGTGGGCCAGGTGTGTGGTGGTAGAGGCAGCCACCAGGGTGGCCAGGTGTGTGGTGGTAGAGGCAGCCACCAGGGTGGGCCAGGTGTGTGGTGGTAGAGACAGCCACAAGGGTGGGCCAGGTGTGTGGTGGTAGAGGCAGCCACCAGGGTGACCAGGTGTGTGGTGGTAGAGACAGCCACCAGGGTGGGCCAGGTGTGTGGTGGTAGAGGCAGCCACCAGGGAGGGCCAGGTGTGTGGTGATAGAGGCAGCCACCAGGGTGGGCCAGGTGTGTGGTGGTAGAGGCAGCCACCAGGGAGGGCCAGGTGTGTGGTGGTAGAGGCAGCCACCAGGGTGACCAGGTGTGTGGGGGTAGAGGCAGCCACCAGGGTGACCAGGTGTGTGGTGGTAGAGGCAGCCACCAGGGTGGCCAGGTGTGTGGTGGTAGAGGCAGCCACCAGGGTGACCAGGTGTGTGGTGGTAGAGGCAGCCACCAGGGTGGGCCAGGTGTGTGGTGGTAGAGGCAGCCACCAGGTTGGGCCAGGTGTGTGGTGGTAGAGGCAGCCACCAGGGAGGGCCAGGTGTGTGGTGGTAGAGGCAGCCACCAGGGTGACCAGGTGTGTGGGGGTAGAGGCAGCCACCAGGGTGGGCCAGGTGTGTGATGGACAGTGTCTGTGGCCTACTGGTAGGTTTGAGGTCGGGAATTATAATATTGTGAAGTTATAATGGTAGGATCTGTGATCTCCTGGTAATAGACAGCAACAGCAGCAACAGCAACAGCAGCAACAACAGCAACAGCAGCAACAACAACAGCAGCAACAGCAACAGCAGCAGCAACAACAACAGCAGCAACAGCAGCTACAGCAACAACAACAGCAGCAACAGCAACAGTAGCAATAACAACAACAGCAGCAGCAGCAACAGCAACAACAGCAGCAACAGCAGCAACAGCAACAGCAACAACAGCAGCAACAGCAGCAACAGCAACAGCAGCAACAGCAACAGCAGCTACAGCAACAACAACAGCAGCAACAGCAGCAACAGCAACAGCAGCAACAGCAGCAGCAGCAACAGCAGCAACAGCAGCAACAGCAACAGCAACAACAGCAGCAACAGCAGCAACAGCAACAGCAGCAACAGCAGCAGCAGCAACAGCAGCAACAGCAGCAACAGCAGCAGCAGCAACAGCAACAGTTGCAACAACAACAACAGCAGCAACAGCAACAGCAGCAGCAGCAACAGCAACAGTAGCAACAACAACAACAGCAGCAACAGCAGCAGCAGCAACAGCAGCGTCAGTAGCAGCAATATAATTTCAATCAACCGAGAAATACATCTCTCAAACCTACAAATATTAAGTTGACCAGACCACACACTAGAAAGTGAAGAGACGACGACGTTTCGGTCCGTCCTGGACCATTCTCAAGTCCAAGACGGATCGAAACGTCGTCGTCCCTTCACTTTCTAGTGTGTAATCTGGTCAACATATATCAGCCAGGTTATTGTGACTCCTCGTCTGCATACAAATATTAACCCACCTGTCCTCCTGCAGGCTCTTCATTTCTTCTACGGCCTCGGGGCCTTCCTCTCCCCCATGATCGCGGAACCTTTCCTACTGAACAAGAACTGCACGGAGATTGTCCTTAACACCACTACTACCACCTCCCACCACCACCACGACCAGCACCAACACACCCAGGACAAGGCCCTCAACCTCTCATACCCAGATCATCACACCCTCGAACTCAAGAATAACTCTGAGATACAGTACGCCTTCTGGATACTTTCTGGCTTGCAGGTGAGGCTGACAGATCTTTTATGTGACTTAATTCCGTGTTGTGTGTAGAGATTAGTATCACACATTTTGTGGTATATATATATTCGTTGATTTATTGATGTTGGGGTTAGACTTATATGGGGTATGACTTTGCGTGAGTTAAGGTTAATATTTTAGTGATTATTGATGTGTTTTGGCTGTGATAAGATCCTTTTGCGTAAGTTCCAAGTTCATTTTTTGATTATTAACTGATGTCAATAAACAGAATTGCAAGACGCATAAACGGTATTACAAGACACATAAATGGAATTCAAAGCTATACAAAAATTCAATACACATAAAACAGAATTGCAAGACACATAAACATAATAATAATAACAATAATCTTTATTTACAAGAAGGTACCGTGAGTCGGTAAGATTACATAAGATTGGTACTTTTGCATAAGAATATTAGTATTCAAGACACATAAACGGAATTTCAAGACACATAAACAAAAATACATGATACACAAACGAAAATATCTAAAACACACAAACCCAAAACAAGAAACATCAAGAGATTTACAAAATACATACAGCTGGACATGCATTAAGATACACACACACATGCTAATCTCAATCAACAAATCTTCCTTTTTAAAACAACGCATTTTGTAAACAAGATCATAACCGAACAAATCCACAAGGGCCGTGACGAGGATTCGAACCTGCGTCCGGGAGCATCCCAGACACTGCCTTAATCACTGACTGAGCTACGACAGTGTTAAAATTCATTTGTTCATTTGATGCATCACGTTAGTGTGATCTCTGTGTGTGGAGATCATAACCAGTTGTAAACCCAAGTTACAACCCCTGCAGGTGCCGGTGGTGTTGCTGCTGACGATGCTGGTGGGGCGGGAGGTGTTTGGCCTGGACGCTGACCCTGCAGGAGAGGTGGCAGTCGGTGCTGGGGGCAGCGTGGAGGCCGGCAAGGAGGCCTACGAGATGAAGGTCTCGTCAGGGGGCACGGAGCCCAAGGTCGTGGTCGTGGAGCACGGGGAACGACCTCCCGTCAATAGGGAGCAGGTCGTTACCATCACCCTCCTGACGGCGTTGTTGCTCTTTCTCTACGATGGTCTACAGGTCGGTATGGTGGCAATGTTATTGTCCGGGGAGGGGGGGGGGGGTTATGGTGTCACTGTTATCTTTTCCCGGTACGGTGGTGTCGCTGCCATTGTCTCCCGGTACGGTGGTGTTGCTGCCATTGTCTCCCGGTACGGTGGTGTCAAGTCGGACCGGGAACAATGTCTCGCGAAACTCTACGCATTCCCCCCGCCAGAGTTCACTGTCAACACACCAGCCCACGTACATACTCTATCCCTTTCACATGTATTTTCTTGCCTCTATAAATGTATTTGAACTGCATAACTGAGAACGCTGTTAAAGGCACTAAATATTAGCCTGTTTCCAATATTATAAACTTTATCTACCCGTTGAGGATAAGATATATAATGTTGGCGTCCTCAGGCGGGTTATGGCGGCTACGTGTTCTCGTACGCTGTGAAGAGCATCGCTGGGATGTCCATGAACGAGGCGGCCTACCTCAACGCCTGCTTCTGGGGCACCTTCGCCTTCGGGAGGCTCATGTCCATCGGCATCGCTACCAAGCTGGCGCCTTCCTTCATGCTGCTCTGTAATATTGTGAGTGGTACACTCTCTCTCTCTCTCTCTCTCTCTCTCTCTCTCTCTCTCTCTCTCTCTCTCTCTCTCTCTCTCTCTCTCTCTCTCTCACTCTCTCACTCTCACTCTCACTCTCTCACTCTCACTCTCACTCTCACTCTCTCACTCTCTCACTCTCTCTCTCTCACTCTCTCTCTCTCTCTCTGTGTCTCTCTCTCTCTCATATCCAGGTATGTTGTCCTCGACGACTGTTCTTCCACAACTTCCACGCATGCTACACTCTTTTACTAGGAAATACAAGAACCTAACAAAAAATAACAAAAAATACCCACCAGAACTGCTAGAGCGGCAATTTCTGTTTAAATATAATAAACCTCACGCTTTCGCACCATCGGAGAGTCGAACCCAACTTCAAAAGTAGGAGACTGTTGGCCTACCAACCAAGCCATGGGCGTTCACAACAACAACTCAAAATCCTGTTTATTTGTGGTTGTATTAATCACGTGATCACTTTATCCTCACCTCTTGTGCCTGTGTTTACTTAAGTCTTGTCTGAGATGAAGATTGGTGAAGATTAAGCCACCCAAAAGGTGGCACGGGCATGAATAGCCCGTAAGTGGTGGCCCTTTTGAGCCATTACCAGCATCAAGAGCTGATACTGGAGATCTGTGGAGGTGCGACTGCACCCTGCGTGACGGGAGATGTCTCCCGTGAGTCTTGTCTAAATCTAAATATATATAAAATTGGAATTAATTGTTTCATGTTCTATCATGGGATGATATATATTTAGAATCCTATTTACCAGTATAAATAGGATTCTAAATCTTTATTCCTTTTACAATTTAAATTCCCTTTGCTAAATCCTTAGATTCTTTCAGACGGTTTAACGGTGTTCTATCTTGATGACTTTGCCAGGAAGGTGGATTGAGTGTGTTTTCTCTCACAAGGGCCCAATCACTAGGACTGGATGGTAGAGCGAAGGCCTGGCTTCTTGCTGGTCGGTGTTCGATCCCCGATGGTGCAAGTGGTTGGGGCATCGTTGCTTCTCTTTGTCTTATTTTAGCTCACTGTTCTCATATCCTAGCTCCTTGTCCTCATATCCCAGCTCCTTGTTCTCATATCCCAGCTCCTTGTTCTCATATCCCAGCTCCTTGTCCTCATATCCCAGCTCCTTGTTCTCATATCCCAGCTCCTTGTTCTCATATCCCAGCTCCTTGTCCTCATATCCTAGCTCCTTGTCCTCATATCCCAGCTCCTTGTTCTCATATCCCAGCTCCTTGTTCTCATATCCCAGCTCCTTGTCCTCATATCCCAGCTCCTTGTCCTCATATCCCAGCTCCTTGTCCTCGTATCCCAGCTCCTTGTCGTCGTATCCCAGCTCTTTGTCCTCATATCCCAGCTCTTTGTCCTCATATCCCAACTCCTTGTCCTCATATCCCAGCTCCTTGTCCTCATATCCCAGCTCCTTGTTCTCATACCCCAGCTCCTTGTTCTAATATCCCAGCTCCTTGTTCTCATATCCCAGCTCCTTGTCCTCATATCCCAGCTCCTTGCCCTCATATCCCAGCTCCTTGTCCTCATATCCCAGCTCCTTGTCTTCATATCCTAGCTCCTTGTCCTCATATCCCAGCTCCTTGTCCTCATACCCCAGCTCCTTGTCCTCATATCCCAGCTCCTTGTCCATTTATCCCAGCTAATTGTCCTCATATCCCAGCTCATTGTCCTCATATCCCAGCACCTTGTTCTCATATCCAGCTCCTTGTTCTCATATCCCAGCTCCTTGTTCTCATATCCCAGCTCCTTGTCTTCATATCCCAGCTCTTTGTCCTCATATCCCAACTCCTTGTCCTCATATCCCAGCTCCTTGTCCTCATATCCCAGCTCCTTGTTCTCATACCCCAGCTCCTTGTTCTAATATCCCAGCTCCTTGTTCTCATATCCCAGCTCCTTGTCCTCATATCCCAGCTCCTTGCCCTCATATCCCAGCTCCTTGTCCTCATATCCCAGCTCCTTGTCTTCATATCCTAGCTCCTTGTCCTCATATCCCAGCTCCTTGTCCTCATATCCCAGCTCCTTGTCCTCATATCCCAGCTCCTTTTCCTTATATCCCAGCTCCTTCTCCTCATATCCCAGCTCCTTGTTCTCATACCCCAGCTCCTTGTCCTCATATCCCAGCTCCTTGTCCTCATATCCCAGCTCCTTGTCCTCATACCCCAGCTCCTTGTCCTCATACCCCAGCTCCTTGTCCTCATATCCCAGCTCCTTGTCCTCATATCCCAGCTCCTTGTCCTCATATCCCAGTTCCTTGTCCTCATATCCCAGCTCCTTGTCCTCATATCCCAGCTCCTTGTCCTCATATCCCAGCTCCTTGTCCTCATATCCCAGCTCCTTGTCCTCATATCCTAGCTCCTTGTCCTCATACCCCAGCTCCTTGTCCTCATATCCCAGCTCCTTGTCCTCATATCCCAGCTCCTTGTCCTCATACCCCAGCTCCTTGTCCTCATACCCCAGCTCTTTGTCCTCATATCCCAGCTCCTTGTCCTCATATCCCAGCTCCTTGTCCTCATGTCCCAGCTCCTTGTCTTCATACCCCAGCTCCGTGTCCTCATACCCCAGCTCCTTGTCCTCATATCCCAGCTTCTTGTCCTCATACCCCAGCTCCTTGTCCTCATACCCCAGCTCCTTGTCCTCATATCCCAGCTTCTTGTCCTCATATCCCAGCTCCTTGTCCTCATATCCCAGCTTCTTGTCCTCATATCCCAGCTCCTTGTCCTCATATCCCTTCCAAGTGCTGTATAGTTAGTCTGGCTTTGTCCTTTTCCCCCATCAATAATATACCATCATCTTCGGAAAGGTTTCTTGGGAAACGTTCAGTTCTTTCTGGGAACTGAAGTCAATTGAAGTCTTATTTCTAACATTCATGAATTGTGTGACTTCTTTCAGACTCTTAGTAGTGATGAGTTCCTTCCGATGTCATGTCTCTCATGCATTAAATACCTTACCCTTGCAAACAGCAAGTCACAAGAATCTGGTTAAACATTGGACTCCCAATCCACACATTAGAAAATAATGGTACTGTCGACGTTTCGATCCATCTTGGACTCTGTTAATCATACGATTCGAAAATGCTCGAGGATGGGGTTTCTTTGATAGGGGGAGGACTTGCTGCATGGGTAACAGCTTCTCCTTGGCTTTGCACCCTGGAGAGGCCACTCCAGACCAACAACTAGAGCGCACCTCCATAGTCTCCTGAGACTGATGGATGCCTACTACTGCTACTAAAGACGCCGCTGGACCATTACGAGGTGAGCTAATGACCCTTAACGACCTTACAGAGCGGGTGTCTGGTAGCGATGGTGTTGATGTTGTCCTTCCACCACAACCACGCCGTCCTCTACATCGGCACCTGTATCTTTGGCACCTTCCTCTCCTCCGTCTACCCCACGGCCGTCAGTCTGGCAGAGACCTACATCCCCGTCACCTGTGAGTCCGCTTCTTACCCTCACAACCTGTCTAATGATACAAGGGGGGGTTCAAACAGTCTTGTGTGTTTTTCCCATGTCGAGTGTATGGTCTTAAGTCCCAGTCCGTCCTCCTTAGCGTCTCCAACGTCAAGAAACTGTCGTACTATTGTGCCCTTATCTTAATCCACCAGAGGACCCAAAACAGAAAACGGGACAGTACGTCACTTTCGCCAGCTGCTGCCATTTTCTAGTCCGACAATTTTTGGCCTTATGTAGAGAATACGTCAAAATACGACGTGCTATTAGGAGGCCGGGCTGGTCGTCCATATATAACCTGATCAGCCAATCTTGGCTGCATATACCGGATTGGGATTCACAGATCACTCTAGGGTGCCTTAAAGCTGTGAATAACCTTTCTACGCTTATTGACAGTGATAGAAACGTGCTACAACAGTCCTCTATTTCTATTCCATAGGGCTGATAGCTGAGTGAAGATAGACTTCATAGATAATAGAAATCTGAGATATTGAATTTGGACCAACCGGAAAAGATTTTATATTTATGTTGCAAAGACCAACTAAATTAACCTAACCTTCCTAGGCCTAATACACAATATATGAGGCCTAATATATTATCTATGTGTGCTATATTAAGCCTAGGATTATTTAAGTTTGTTTTTTAGCTTCATAACGTTCTATCTAGACACAAGGATGGGTTGTTTATCCCATAGCGCTAATAGACTAAACCAAGATAGATATCTTCGTTGTTTCAGGAGTCATGATAGCCTGTTGACTTGGTCAACAGGCTATCCTGTCTATTTAATGGCACTAAACAGCGCCTTGCAAAGGTATATCTTCCTTTTGATATCCTATAAAGCATAGTGACAGATAGGATAGTCCCTTCACCTTGCCTCAAGGCGCTAACACGCTCTCTATTTGTGTATACAAAAGATAACGTTTCTTTGTATGTCTGTCTGTGCAAACATGAAGGCCAGACGCCAAGGGCAAGTCTCACCAAACTTTGCAGGGTTACTGGTGTTTGGTCGGGGATTATCATAGGCGGGTCAGTGTCTACACCTCTATGCGCCATCCTTTTGCATGAACTTACAAACGATATCAATTCGTTATCTTTCACTACATATCAGACTCCATCCTCATTAGCATTACCCAGCATATTACTTTCGACGATTAAATCTTAGTTAATCACCTTATCTCTCTAAAGAATTTTTTTTGTACTAGTGAAATTGTGATTTAATATCCGTTTTTTTTTGTGAGTATAAGTGTATTGTGAGTATAGTGTGTTATGAGTATGAGGAGTTTATGGGGCTTTTTGTTATTCCTCTTTTTGAGTGGAGTTTTTTTGAGTAATTTACATAAATATGTTTTAAAGCAAAGATCTGAGGATGAATTTTGAGTCTGTGCTCTGGTGGTGTGATATTACGTGTAATGGATGCTTTTGAGAGCAACTCTGCGCACTCTGAATGTAAATTAACCCTTATGAGTGCAGCTGTGTGCACTCTGTGTGTGTAACTCGCCCCAATCAGTGAGTGAAGTTGCAGCCACAGTGCAACTTCACTCACTGTGAGCGAATCTTAATACATTCTGAGTTCACATTTGTGCACTCTCAGTATAATCTGATCCATATCACGAGTGTAACAGGAATTGTGACCGAAACCTGACCCATTCTGATAACAACTTGAAGCACTCAATGTAACATGTCTCACTCAGAGTGCTTAGTAAGGCACTCTGACTGGCACTCTGAGCCACCTTGAGTGAAAAGTGACTCATTCCTCTCCATCATTCCAGCCCACATAACTAGCGGCCTGGTGATGACTGCAGCCGCGGGGGAAATGATCATCCCAGTCGTTATCGGCCACGTAAGTCTGTCGTTAAGAGGTCGTAAGTCATCACAGTCGCCATAGGCCACGTAAGTCTCTCGTTAAGATGTCGTAAGTCATCACAGTCGTTATCGGCCACGTAAGTCTCTGCTTAAGAGGTCGTAAGTCATCACAGTCGTCATAGGCCATGTAAGTCTCTCGTTAAGATGTCGTAAGTCATCACAGTCGTCATAGGCCACGTAAGTCTCTGGTTAAGAGGTCGTAAGCCGTCACAGTCGTCATAGGCCACGTAAGTCTCTGGTTAAGAGATCGTAAGTCATCACAGTCGTCATAGGCCACGTAAGTCTCTCGTTAAGATGTCGTAAGTCATCACAGTCGTCATAGGCCACGTAAATCTCTGGTTAAGAGGTCGTAAGCCGTCACAGTCGTCATAGGCCACGTAAGTCTCTCGTTAAGATGTCGTAAGTCATCACAGTCGTCATAGGCCACGTAAGTCTCTGGTTAAGAGGTCGTAAGCCGTCACAGTCGTCATAGGCCACGTAAGTCTCTCATTAAGAGTTCGTAAGTCATCAAAAGGGAAGGTATATCTCTTGTTAAAAGTCCTTAGATCATTATTGACCATGTAAGTCTCTCTTACTAAGTCACATGTGACATACACACATGTAAGTCACATGTGACATACACACATGTAAGTCACATGTGACATACACACATGTAAATCACATGTGACATACACACAGGTGAGTCACATGTGACATATACACAGGTAAGTCTCATGTGACATACACACATGTAAGTCACATGTGACATATACACAGGTAAGTCACATGTGACATACAGACATGTAAGTCACATGTGACATACATACATGTAAGTCACATATTTCGGGTCAAAAGCACCACTTTTATGTACTTTTTGAATTATGTCTCTTTTTTTTTTTACCCTCGTAGTTAGGTCACTTGTATATTACATTTAATATGTGCCTTTTTTAGGGTTAATTTGGTCTAGGGTCCATGCCTCCCTGTCTTGTGGCCCGGAGGTGGGGCCCAAGAGCTAGACTAATAACCCTCAAAGTGGCAAGGTGAGTAAGAGAGTCATAAGAGGAAACAGTATTGTTAATGTTAAAATCTCCGGTCAAGTCTGATTAAGTCCTTTTTTGCCTTCTATAAACCATTTTTGCGCTACCGCTCACAGGATGAGTATGGGGTGCACAACAAACTACCGCTCACAGGATGAGTATGGGGTGCACAACAAACTACCACTCACAGGATGAGTATGGGGTGCACAACGAACTACCACTCACAGGATGAGTATGGGGTGCACAACAAACTACCACTCACAGGATGAGTATGGGGTGCACAACGAACTACCACTCACAGGATGAGTATGGGGTGCACAACAAACTACACTCACAGGATGAGTATGGGGTGCACAACAAACTACACTCACAGGATGAGTATGGGGTGCACAACAAACTACACTCACAGGATGAGTATGGGGTGCACAACAAACTACACTCACAGGATGAGTATGGGGTGCACAACAAACTACACTCACAGGATGAGTATGGGGTGCACAACAAACTACCGCTCACAGGATGAGTATGGGGTGCACAACAAACTACCGCTCACAGGATGAGTATGGGGTGCACAACAAACTACACTCACAGGATGAGTATGGGGTGCACAACAAACTACACTCACAGGATGAGTATGGGGTGCACAACAAACTACACTCACAGGATGAGTATGGGGTGCACAACAAACTACACTCACAGGATGAGTATGGGGTGCACAATACACTACCGCTCACAGGATGAGTATGGGGTGCACAACAAACTACCACTCACAGCATGAGTATGGGGTGCACAATACACTACCACTCACAGGATGAGTATGGGGTGCACAACAAACTACCACTCACAGGATGAGTATGGGGTGTACAACAAACTACCGCTCACAGGATGAGTATGGGGTGCACAACAAACTACCACTCACAGCATGAGTATGGGGTGCACAATACACTACCACTCACAGGATGAGTATGGGGTGCACAACAAACTACCACTCACAGGATGAGTATGGGGTGTACAACAAACTACCGCTCACAGGATGAGTATGGGGTGCACAACAAACTACCACTCACAGCATGAGTATGGGGTGCACCTGATAGATCTTTACCTGAATTTACCTGAGGTCCACTATCTTTCTCTAGTGGCCACGACGATGTCAGGAAGCCGGCAGCTTGTCAAATGTCTCTCCCACCATCAATTATCCTGTTGATTTTTGTTAACTGGACCTAAATGCATTTCGTCCACCGCTTCCGCTGCCTATAACGTGGCCTGAAACGCCCTGGGAGGTGTAAGACAGAAACGTTTAGGCCGCTATAGGTACTTTGGAGTTAAGCAACTGTTGTGGGCGGCATCCTGTGAAAAGGCTGTAGTTAGCTTAAGAGGACCACGATAAGCCTAAGTACAGGATTCCTATACTGAGACCTAGTATAGGCCTACAGAACGTGAGAGTCTGATATAGGCCTATAAAACGTGAGATTTTAGTATAGGCCTACACAATGTGACAACTAGCTATATAAGAGAAGGCTTTCCCTAGAATTAAACTCAGAAATACTATATATATATTCCTCGCAGCCAGTCAAATAGGCCTATAGTACTTCTCCAGCCACACATTTTTATCCTGAACCTAAATGCCAATCTTCTGTACAGAGTTCTTTCAGAAAACTTTACTGACAATAATTATCTTTACTAGTTACCCCTCTTTGTCGTCCGTTTTCTCTATTAAATATTCTTTTTCTTTGTTACATATTTGTAGGGAAACTTACCTGAATTTACCTGAGGGCCACTAATAGTAGTGGCCTCGACGTGGACAGGAAGCCGGCGGTTTGTCAACGGTACCCCCCATTTGCCCTGATAATCTTTTCCAGCTGTATTTTAAAACCCAGCAGAGTTTTGGTGTTTACGGCTTCGGCGGGTAGGCGGTTCCACAGGTTTAATAACCTTATGGGTGATAAAGCATCTCCCGTTTTCTGTCCCACATTGTGGCGTGTTGACCCACAATGTTAAATCTTACCTTAAGGTGGCAAACTTAAGTAGATTTAAGTTAGTGTTAAGTTGTTGTTGTTTAAGATTCGCTATATGAAACAAAAAGTTCCAAGTAGCACGGGCTATGATGAGCCCGTTTTTTAGTTTTAAGTTACTCCTAAAGTGTAACAGCAAGCTTGGTTGTGTAACAACCAGAGGCAGACTGTTACAAGCGGTGATATAACACCCCCTCCCCCTCCTTTTCCATGTTCTATATAGTTCCTTAGTTATTCCTCCTCGTAACTACCTTACCTGTTGTAACTAAGGTTACCTGTTACAACCTTACCTGTTGTAACTAAGCTTACCGTGTTGATCATCTTACAGGAGTTCGAGGCCTACGGGCCGGCCAGCGTGCTGGTGTCTGGCGTAGTGATGACCCTGGTGAGCGTCGTGGTGTACCTGCTCCTGTACCTGGTGGCTCAGACCATCACCCGTCAGTCCTGTGAGTACCGGAAGACTGGGGGACGGGGTGGGGGTAGTGGTCCTGTGGTACTTGCTAGTCCTGTGAGTACCGGAAGACTGGGGGACAGGGGGGTGGGGGGGTTCCAGTGGTACTTGTCAGTCCTGTGAGTACCGGAAGACTGGGGGGCAGGGGGGTGGGGGAGATCCAGTGGTACTTGCCAGTCCTGTGAGTACCGGAAGACTGGGGGACAGGGGGGTGGGGGGTCCAGTGGTACTTGCCAGTCCTGTGAGTACAGGAGGGCTAGAGGGGGGGGGGAAGAGGGGGGTCCAGTACACTACTCATTAGTCCTGTAAGTTGTATGGTGGGTCCAGAGCATACTGTGTCAGTCCTATAAGTTGTATGGTGGGTCCAGAGCATAATGTGTTAGTCCTGTAAGTGGTCTGATTGGTCCAGAGCATAATATGTCAGTCCTATAAGTCTCGAGGTGAATCTAAAGCATTACCAGTCAGTCCTGTAGCTCCAAGAGTGGTCTAGATCATCACCCGCCAGTCCTGTAAGTTTAACAGGATGACAGACCAACTTGTACCACGACAAACTGTCATATTGGCACATAATCTAACTGGCACAGACAAACAATCTGGAATGTAAACCAACAGACAGGCAAACTGGCAGAGAGGCAGGTAAACTCAGAAGAAGATCTCGTAACAGACAGGAAGATAAACTGGATAGATATCAAACTGTCAGAATAATCAATAGACTTCCTGACAAAAAACCTATTTGCTAACCAACCAATAGACAGATAGACAAATAAATTAACAGTAAGGGAATACAATCAAGCAGTCTAAAGTGTCAGAATTAAGTAATAACAGGAGACACAGTCAGTATAACTGGACATTAACTATTCACATATGAGGAATTAACCAAATCTGGAGACTAATCAACAGTCCACAGAAGCTACAGTTAAAATGATAGCTAACTGTTTATTGGTCGGTGCAAATTCGTATAATGAGGACAGGCAGACCGTCTCAGTCAACTGTCGTGGCCAGCAGGTGGTAAATTCCACCGAGTTAAGTAGTGGCAGGGAACTATAGCAGACAATCACTTGAAACTGACCTTAGTGAGTATTAAGACGAAATAAACACGAAATAACCGATTATTTCCACAATGTTATCTTCTTGAATGCTAGATCATGGGCGAAAATAGCCATCTGACCAGGCCCGAGGGGTAATGATCTTGTGCTACAAAATATTTAAATTACTTCACCATTAACCTAGCGATGAGTATAGAATTTGTAACCTAGGCAAGATCTATCCAGTTTAAAGGGTACAAAGAATGGTCTCAATGTCATTGTGTGTATCATTCAACTGTGAATTAGTCGCTGTTTGTTATTATTTATTATTAACATCTTTATTGACAAAATTAATTACAATTTTGCCTAATCTGAGGATTTTGATAAAGTCTTATTAAAGTGAGGATAATGTTGGTATTCACTGTCACGCAGGACAGAGGGTCATACACAAGTCAATAGGTCTAAATTGTAGGCGGAAGCACATATATATCACGGTTACAATCAATGTTTTAATGTATGGATATGTGAAAACAACTTTCTACTGTGCACTGCCACACAAGGGCAGGGATGGGTTCATAAGTGATACAGCTTAGAAGTAATGTAAATATAAATTGTTCTTCATTCTTTAAAATGGACAAGCAAATTTTGGATAAATTGTTAGGATGTCGTCCAGAACACCTGAGTCAATAAAATAGTTACACAGTTGGTGGTACAAGAGGCCAGGAGGTCTAAAGTCCTTTACGGTTGAACATTCAACAATATAGTGTTCTAGTGAATGCATTAGAGGTTTATCACAGAGTTTACAATCTGAGTTTTCTGGTAGTGGCTCAGCCTCACTAACCTGCCAGATGTGTCTATAGCCAAGGGGAATTACCACAATGACTACATCACATTGCCTGGTCCGGTTACTGTGCTGACCATACAAATACCTATTATTACAAAACTTGTCATAACTTTTAATACTGCAGCTTTCAGGTCTCTGGGCATTTCTTAGTTCTTCTAAATCTGAATTAAGTTCTTTAATTTGTATGTTTCTAATAACTGCATTAGATAGTCTGTCATGTTCACAGAAAACGGTACCATCCGTTTTCTATGTGCGGCGGCTCAGACGCCAGGAGGAGATAAACAACAGAGAGTGTACAGGACGCCCGCCAGACTTGGAAGCTGCTAGTCATGTATCAGTTCAAGTATTAAAGTCAATAACCAAGCAATGGCTTTATATCAACCCTACAACCAAGACTTCCTCAGTAACACACAACACCACATAGTCCAAAGCCATAATCAATGTTTTCTTTCCTGCAAGCCTCATTGGCCAATTGATCTACAAAGTCATGTTTTCCAACTCCAACATGGGATGGGATCCACACAAATTTTATACAAGAGTTATTATCATTGGCAAAAATTACAGAATAGTGAAAGGATGGGACTCATTATTCCTCTGTGTTTATTCATTATTCTTTGGATCTCTTTCTCACTTCATGCTATCCCATGGTAGGTCCTCACTACATACTATCCCATGGTAGCCCTTCACTACATACTATCCCATGGTAGGTCCTCACTACATACTATCCCATGGTAGCCCTTCACTACATACTATCCCATGGTAGGTCCTCACTACATACTATCCCATGGTAGCCCTTCACTACATACTATCCCATGGTAGGTCCTCACTACATACTATCCCATGGTAGCCCTTCACTACATACTATCCCATGGTAGGTCCTCACTACATACTATCCCATGGTAGGTCCTCACTACATACTATCCCATGGTAGGTCCTCACTACATACTATCCCATGGTAGCCCTTCACTACATACTATCCCATGGTAGCCCTTCACTACATACTATCCCATGGTAGGTCCTCACTACATACTATCCTATGGTAGCCCTTCACTACATACTATCCCATGGTAGGTCCTCACTACATACTATCCCATGGTAGCCCTTCACTACATACTATCCCATGGTAGGTCCTCACTACATACTATCCCATGGTAGCCCTTCACTACATACTATCCCATGGTAGGTCCTCACTACATACTATCCCATGGTAGGTCCTCACTACATACTATCCCATGGTAGGTCCTCACTACATACTATCCCATGGTAGCCCTTCACTACATACTATCCCATGGTAGGTCCTCACTACATACTATCCCATGGTAGCCCTTCACTACATACTATCCCATGGTAGGTCCTCACTACATACTATCCCATGGTAGGTCCTCACTACATACTATCCCATGGTAGCCCTTCACTACATACTATCCCATGGTAGGTCCTCACTACATACTATCCCATGGTAGCCCTTCACTACATACTATCCCATGGTAGGTCCTCACTACATACTATCCCATGGTAGCCCTTCACTACATACTATCCCATGGTAGGTCCTCACTACATACTATCCCATGGTAGCCCCCCACCACATTCAACCCAACAGACTTCCCCACATCTACTCCACCACAATCTACCCCTCATCTACCGCCGTTCACAGCACACTAACACCCCCTCCATTGTGTTACACAGCCGAGCAGAGTCTGCTGAAGCGGTTGAAAGCGCTGCTGCTCCGCCAGAAGGAGGAGATGGAGGACTCGGGTCTGATGAAGCACCACGTCAAGTACTACACCAGGATGGCCAGCCAGCTCTCCGAGTCGTCCCTGGGGGAGGAGGCAGGCTCCCCCGAGGGCACGGGACCCAGGGGCCAGTCTGCCCTTAGTGACAACTCCCCCGCCCCTCTCTAAAGGGGGGCATGGGGCTCCTTCACAAATGTGTTTTAAGGTAGATTGTTATTCCAATGGTAAATATTTAAGATATATTTTTTATTGTTTTTTTCACCACTTGGGAGTGGACGGTAGAGCGACGGTAGAGCGTCATGCAGGTCGGCGTTCAATCCCCGACCGTCCACAAGTGGTTGGGCACCATTCCTTCCCCCGGTCCGATCCCAATTGCCTTATCCTGACCCCTTCCCAGTGCTATATAGTCGTGATGGCTTGGCGCTTTTCCCTGAAAAAATAAATATTCATAGGGGCTCTTTTGTTTGTAATTGTTGATGTGTAAATTTGTAAAGTTTTTAATTGTTGTGGTTAATGTGACGGGGGTTTACCCGGCATTTATTTACGAGAAGGTTATGTTCACCGAGAAGGAGTACCCAGTTTACTGTGAGTTTACCCTATTCCTGCAGCCCGTCCTCCTAAGGTTTCCCTACGTCAAGAAACTGTCGTGCTAAAGTGTCCTTATCCTTAACCTACCAGAGGACCCAAAACAGAAAACGGGACGGTATGTTAATTCCGCCAGCCGCTTTCATTTTCTAGTACGACGATTTTTGGCCTCAGGCAGAGTATACGTCAAAATACGACGTGCTATTAGGAGGACGGGTTGATTCCTGGACTGTTCCAGGCTAGCTTACTAGCGACAGGTGTTGTGGTGTGTGTGGCGATTAGACGGGGACTCCGTAAGAACTGTTCTGTCCAAATGGATGAAGGGGAAGGGATTTGTTGGGAATGCGCCAAGCTATCACGACTATATAGCACTGGGAAAAGGTCAGGATAAGGATTTGGAATGGGTCGGGGAGGGAAGGAATGGTGCCCAACCATTTAGACGGTCAGGGATTGAACGCCGACCTGCATGGATCGAGACCATCGCTCCCCTGGAAACACAAACCGTAACTGTCTCTATTTTCCGCTTGTTACAACTTGTAATAAAGTTGTTACATCTTGGCTTAACGTGTTTATGACGTATTAGAACGTTGTTACAACTTGCTATATTGGTTGTTATAACTGGTTAGGTGGTGTTAAAACTTGTTCGAACGTTGTACCAACGTCGTAGTTTCGTTGTGTGTTTGGCGGGTCTACCGTCCAGCCCAAGTGATTAGACCAAACGGATGAAAGAAGTACCATGTTTGGCACCCATTCTCTGTCCCCATTCTGACGCAATTCTCTGACTCCATTCTCATGTCTTGCTTTCGTGGCAGTTTACACTTGATTCTGTGTCCCCTGTATGTCTAAGTTGTCATCTTGGGGTTCTGTTTCCTCTCATGATGATGTATAATATACCACAGACATCACTAGCTCATTGTTCTCGTGGCTGTGAGCATTTTAATGTATCTACCCTTATCTGAATTCTTCTGTGTGGCGAACTTCATCATTTTCTTCCAATATTGGGTCCGAAACCCCTGTTGTAAGGTCCGAAACCCCTGTTGTAAGGTCCGAAACACCTGTTGTAAGGTCCGAAACCCCTTGTTGTAAGGTCCGAAACACCTGTTGTAAGGTCCGAAACACCTGTTGTAAGGTCCGAAACCCCTGTTGTAAGGTCCGAAACACCTGTTGTAAGGTCCGAAACCCCCTGTTGTAAGGTCCGAAACCCCTGTTGTAAGGTCCGAAACCCCCTGTTGTAAGGTCCGAAACCCCCTGTTGTAAGGTCCGAAACCCCTGTTGTAAGGTCCGAAACACCTGTTGTAAGGTCCGAAACACCTGTTGTAAGGTCCGAAGCCCTTGTTGTAAGGTCCGAAACCCCCTGTCGTATGGTCCGAAACCTCTGTCGTATGGTCTGAAACTTCTGTCGTATGGTCTGAAATCCCTGTTGTATGGTATGAAATCCCTGTCGTATGGTCTGAAATCCCTGTTGTATGGTCTGAAATCCCTGTCGTCTGGTCTGAAATCCCTGTTGCAGGGTCTGAAACCCCTGTCGTATGGTCCGAAACCCCTGTCGTATGGTCCAACCCCCCCCTGTTGTAAGGTCTGAAACCCCTGTTGTATGGTCGGAAACCCTTGTCGTAAGGTCCGAAATCCCTGTCGTAAGGTCAGATCGTGCAGTTTCAACAATCAAAACCATGCATATTAGAGTGTATCGTGAAGCAAGATTAGATTGTCTAATATGTTTGGTGTTGAAGACCCATCAACCTCTGGAGGGTTATTAAGATCACCACAATATCTTACTGACCAACCAGCAAGTTTGGTGTTGGACTTAAGGCCTATCAACCTCTGGAGGGTTATTAAGACCACCACAATACCTTACTGACCAACCAGCAAGTTTGGTGTTGGACTTAAGGCCTATCAACCTCTGGAGGGTTATTAAGACCACCACAACACCTTACTGACCAACCAGCAAGTTTGGTGTTGGACTTAAGACCTATCAACCTCTGGAGGGTTATTAAGACCACCACAACACCTTACTGACCAACCAGCAAGTTTGGTGTTGGACTTAAGACCTATCAACCTCTGGAGGGTTATTAAGACCACCACAACACCTTACTGACCAACCAGCTAGTATACTTTACCCCTGAACATAGTCGAGGACTACAGTAAACTCTCAGTGTATACTCACCGAGAAGTGAGGTAGACCTCCCAGTGTGTATTCCCCTGTCTCTATGTTTGATTCAATAAATCTCACCGCATCGTCTTGCTAGATCATGATATATATCTTGATCTAGATATCAAGATATTATATCATGATATAAGATCATAATCTTGCTAGATATATCAAAGGTTGTTCATTAAGAATGAATATTATCTCCTGATGGTCATAGATATTAGAATGGATTACCAGAATATTTCACCCTTGTTAATTCTTTATTCTCAACCATTCTCCCTCCCTTATCTTAGAATAGCTGTATATACCTCCCAAGTAGTATAAAGTATGATAAGTATTACACCTTTCAAGTATTATAAGTGCTTTCTTCTCATAGTTGTCTTTCCTTCCACTTAAATCTTGGGCTACAGCTCCACAACTCCGGCATGGGACTATGTATTGTCGAAGAGATTGGTTGTATATTTCCTTATCTATATTTTAGTTTTTTATGGTCAGAAGTTCCTTCACATGGTCTCTACTAACTTTACCCTCCATGTTGCTAAATTCTCACTGGAAAGCCGTCCATTCTCAACGTTCAAGACTCCTGCTTCTCTGAGTATTGATGCTGCTAATTGAAAAAAATGCACATCGCCATCGCAGAGCCTTAATATATCTATGAGAAAATCATTGGAGCAGGTTGGCGGGCTCGAACTTGCGTCCTGGGTCACCAGCAGGTGCGCGCAATACCCATACTTCACGACATGCTCGTTCGAGCCTTTTAACTTGATCTTTCCCACGTACGTGGCTGATCAGTTATTAATATTACGAACCAGTTTGGGTCTTATCCTTTTCAATAAAGGGATGTCTAAGCTTGCTTAAATCTTCAAGTTCAAAAACAGCTTTTGCGACATATTTTTAAGTTTTGGTGCTGATATATATACTTTTTTTTAGGGTGCTGATATACGGTGTTTATATCTTATATAAACTTAGCTGAAGTTACTTAACAGGCTATATCATCATTGTAGATGATATACGTATATAACGTATATGCTACGTATGTAACATATATGTGACAACATATATATATATATATATTGGTGTATACTGGCAGCAGGTTTTCTTTCAAACATGTTTCATTGAATATGACCGCATATTCTGTATTTATTATTTTCTGGTTTAGGGCTTCTATCCCTCTAACTATTTTCTTAGCATCAGGGCTTAATTGGAATAGGAGTTCTCCAAAACTCATTTTCGTACTTTTAAGGTGAAGAAAAGAAGTGATTTACTATAGAGTGTATTACACTTATTTGTATAATTTGCACGACGTTTCGAACCTCCATGGTTCATTCTCAAGTGAACAATCTTACAATACTAGTTGATTTTATACCCGCATTAGGTCAGGTGATAATACAATGAAGGTGAAAAACATGGGGGGATACATAAGGGATAAACATAGGGGCTGCAGAAGGCTTATTGGCCCATACGAGGCATCTCCTATCCAAACACAAAGATTAATCCAGTGTAATTGGCCTGTTATGTTGGACATTGTCTTCTGTGTTGGCATCGATATGTTCTTGTCTTGTCCTTACTCTCATGGTGGGTAGAGTAAATAGTTCCGTGATTTGGGTGTTCATGGTAGGTCGCTCTATTCTTATGTGAATTGCCTCAAGAATTTGTAATCTTCTTGAAGATAATGTAATTATGGTCTAATATGCAAATGAGTTCCTCAACAAGCATAATTAGCAAGCTTGTTCCTCAACAAGCATAAGTTCCTCAGCATATTAGACCACATAATTACAAATTCTTGAGGCAATTCACATAAGAATAGAGCGACCTACCATGAACACCCAAATCACGGAACTATTTACTCTACCCACCATGAGAGTAAGGACAAGACAAGAACATATCGATGCCAACACAGAAGACAATGTCCAACATAACAGGCCAATTACACTGGATTAATCTTTGTGTTTGGATAGGAGATGCCTCGTATGGGCCAATAAGCCTTCTGCAGCCCCTATGTTTATCCCTTATGTATCCCCCCATGTTTTTCACCTTCATTGTATTATCACCTGACCTAATGCGGGTATAAAATCAACTAGTATTGTAAGATTGTTCACTTGAGAATGAACCATGGAGGTTCGAAACGTCGTGCAAATTATACAAATAAGTGTAATACACTCTATAGTAAATCACTTCTTTTCTTCACCTTAAAAGTACGAAAATGAGTTTTGGAGAACTCCTATTCCAATTAAGCCCTGATGCTAAGAAAATAGTTAGAGGGATAGAAGCCCTAAACCAGAAAATAATAAATACAGAATATGCGGTCATATTCAATGAAACATATATATATATATATATATATATATATATATATATATATATATATATATATATATATATATATATATATATATTGGTGTATACTGGCAGCAGGTTTTCTTTCAAACATGTTTCATTGAATATGACCGCATATTCTGTATTTATTATTTTCTGGTTTAGGGCTTCTATCCTTCTAACTATTTTCTTAGCATCAGGGCTTAATTGAAATAGGAGTTCTCCAAAACTCATTTTCGTACTTTTAAGGTGAAGAAAAGAAGTGATTTACTATAGAGTGTATTACACTTATTTGTATAATTTGCACGACGTTTCGAACCTCCATGGTTCATTCTCAAGTGAACAGATCTTACAATACTAGTTGATTATATAACCGCATTAGGTCAGGTGATAATACAATGAAGGTGAAAACATGGGGGGATACATAAGGGATAAACATAGGGGCTGCAGAAGGCTTATTGGCCCATACGAGGCATCTCCTATCTAAACACAAAGATTAATCCAGTGTAATTGGCCTGTTATGTTGGACATTGTCTTCTGTGTTGGCATCGATATGTTCTTGTCTTGTCCTTGTCTTGTAAGGACAAGACAAGAACATATCGATGCCAACACAGAAGACAATGTCCAACATAACAGGCCAATTACACTGGATTAATCTTTGTGTTTAGATAGGAGATGCCTCGTATGGGCCAATAAGCCTTCTGCAGCCCCTATGTTTATCCCTTATGTATCCCCCCATGTTTTCACCTTCATTGTATTATCACCTGACCTAATGCGGGTATATAATCAACTAGTATTGTAAGATCTGTTCACTTGAGAATGAACCATGGAGGTTCGAAACGTCGTGCAAATTATACAAATAAGTGTAATACACTCTATAGTAAATCACTTCTTTTCTTCACCTTAAAAGTACGAAAATGAGTTTTGGAGAACTCCTATTTCAATTAAGCCCTGATGCTAAGAAAATAGTTAGAGGGATAGAAGCCCTAAACCAGAAAATAATAAATACAGAATATGCGGTCATATTCAATGAAACATATATATATATATATATATATATATATATATATATATATATATATATATATATATATATATATATATATATATATATATATATATATATATATATATATATATATATTACTTGTGGTTGTCTAATGTGTTGTGGTGTTGTTCAACAGGCGAGCCTTCTTCAGTGTGCCAGTGATGATCCCCTATAAGATTGATCTGCTTGTGAGGTGTGTACTCACCTAGTACTCACCTAGTACAGGTGAGTGTGTGAGTTCTCCTGTGATGCTTGCCTTGAGAGATGGACTGGTGTCTCTGAAGTCACTTAACTCTGTCATTGTTATCTCCGAAGTCATGAATCCAGCGACTCATGTCTTGGAATTAATCAGTCGAGTGATTGACGTCTCTAATTGATGGTAATCAATCATATGTCTCTTCAAAATAAATATTTAAACTAATTTTACGTTTTCGCTACTTTTGATGTATGAATTTTGTTTCATTGTTAATCAATACATATATATAAATATATACAAATATATATTTTTAAAATATAACACACGTAGATTTAAGTATATTTTCGTTACTGTATGTGTGGAAAAAGATATAATTTTACTTTGAAAATTAAGTTCATAAGATCCTTAATTAAACTAAAAAAAAAAAAATTCACATTCCGTTCAATTTTCACTTTCATGTTTGTGTACACAGGAATCCTACTGAAAGTGATGGTGAAAAGATTATACACAGTGAATGGTGCGTTGTGAAAGTTACATTTTACATGATGAATCATCAGGGGGTAATGTAATGGGTTCGAACCTCGGTCCTTGGACTCCTCAGACGAACCGGAGCCAGGAGTGAGAGTTCGATCCTACTGCATGGCCTTACCATTTTCTCATAGATTTCTCACGTTCCTGTGATTTATTTGGTAGTCTATATCATTTAAGAAATGCTGTACATCTTATAAGGAATCTCTCTATCTTATAAGATATCTCTGTATCTTATATGTAATCTCTATATCTTATAAGAAATTTCTGTATCTTGTAAGACATCTCTATATCTTATAAGAAAGCTCTATATTTTATAAGAAAGCTCTGTATCTTAGAAGAAAGCTCCATAGCTTATAAGAAATCTCTATATCTTATAAGAAACCTATATATCGGATAAGAAAACTCTGTATCTTGAAAGACATCTCTATATCTTATAAGAAAGCTCTATATCTTGTAAGAAAGCTTTATTTCTTATAAGAAAGCTCTGCATCCTATAAGAAAGCTATATATCCTATAAGAAAGCTCTATATCCTATAAGAAAGCTGTATCTTGTAAGACATCTCTATATCTTATAAGACATCTCTATATCTTATAAGAAATCTTTATTTATAAGAAAACTCTTTATATATAAGAAAGCTCTTTATCATATAAGAAATATCTATATATTATAAGAACGTTCTATATCTTTTAGTAAAGCTTTATATCGTATAATAAAGCTCCATATCTTATAAAAACTGTATATTATAACAAACTCTATATCCTGTAAGAAAACTTGATATCTTATACGAAAGCTCTATATCGTATAGTGCTGCAACATAATTAGTTATTACATTGATATAGTGTTGTTGAGGAACTCATTTGCATATTAGACCATAATTACATTATCAAAATGTTATTTTGCCGTCATATTACTTCATTAAGGCATCATCATCATAAGAAATTATTTGCACTTAGGCCTTTATTGCCCTAGAACACTGTTAATTAGCCAGGGGAGACTTGTGTATAAATTTTTTTTTATCTTGATTTACATCCACAAAGTTTTAATTTTAAGATAAATTATGTATTGGATTATTTCAATGTAGTCAGAATGAACTTGTTATTATATGTATGTTTGTATGAAATTACGTTCTGGGTTAATTATTTGTATAAGTGCTTTTTCTTACTGGATTTTTTCAGTCATGGAACAACTTTCGTCAATCATGTCTTTTTTTTTAATTGAAAATGGATTATATAGGAACTTTGTGTGTGTGATACATACATTAACTTGTATCAACTAAATATTAATCACGTCAATGGCATCTGTTAAAAGCCAAACAGGACCTAACTGCTTCCTAATTAATTTGGTTTGGTGTTGGACTTAAGGCCTATCAACCTCTGGAGGGTTATTAAGACCACCACAATACCTTACTGACCAACCAGCAAGTTTGGTGTTGGGCATAAGGCCTATCAACCTCTGGAGGGTTATTAAGACCACCACAATACCTTACTGACCAACCAGCAAGTTTGGTGTTGGGCATAAGGCCTATCAACCTCTGGAGGGTTATTAAGACCACCACAATACCTTACTGACCAACCAGCAAGTTTGGTGTTGGACTTAAGACCTATCAACCTCTGGAGGGTTATTAAGACCACCACAATACCTTACTGACCAACCAGCAAGTTTGGTGTTGGACTTAAGACCTATCAACCTCTGGAGGGTTATTAAGACCACCACAATACCTTACTGACCAACCAGCAAGTTTGGTGTTGGACTTAAGGCCTATCAACCTCTGGAGGGTTATTAAGACCACCACAATACCTTACTGACCAACCAGCAAGTTTGGTGTTGGACTTAAGACCTATCAACCTCTGGAGGGTTATAAAGGCCACTACAATACCTTACTGACCAACCAGCAAGTTTGGTGTTGGTCTTAAGACCTATCAACCTCTGGAGGGTTATAAAGGCCACTACAATACCTTACTGACCAACCAGCAAGTTTGGTGTTGGTCTTAAGACCTATCAACCTCTGGAGGGTTATAAAGGCCACTACAATACCTTACTGACCAACCAGCAAGTTTGGTGTTGGGCATAAGGCCTATCAACCTCTGGAGGGTTATTAAGACCACCACAATACCTTACTGACCAACCAGCAAGTTTGGTGTTGGTCTTAAGACCTATCAACCTCTGGAGGGTTATAAAGGCCACTACAATACCTTACTGACCAACCAGCAAGTTTGGTGTTGGACTTAAGGCCTATCAACCTCTGGAGGGTTATTAAGACCACCACAATACCTTACTGACCAACCAGCAAGTTTGGTGTTGGTCTTAAGACCTATCAACCTCTGGAGGGTTATAAAGGCCACTACAATACCTTACTGACCAACCAGCAAGTTTGGTGTTGGACTTAAGACCTATCAACCTCTGGAGGGTTATTAAGACCACCACAATACCTTACTGACCAACCAGCAAGTTTGGTGTTGGACTTAAGACCTATCAACCTCTGGAGGGTTATTAAGACCACCACAATACCTTACTGACCAACCAACAGGTTTGGTGTTGGACATAAGGCCTATCAACCTCTGGAGGGTTATAAAGGCCACTACAATACCTTACTGACCAACCAGCAAGTATACTTTACCACTGATTATAGACCAGGAGTAAACTGTCAGTTTACACACCTAGAAACGAGGTAATTAATTTAGACGTCATGTGTCAGTGTTGGAACTAATCAACCACCCGAGCCTCTTTATTATAAACATCGGTCGCCGTAGAGAACAAAACGTTGAGTGCCACAAAGGCACAACCCTGTATAAGTCAGTATGACATTTATGCTCTTTTAGTCCGTATTCTCTTGTTTACCACTTGGAAAAGTAGTTAAGTTGGCTGGTCTTGATGCAGCCTGTTTTTTTACGTATTGACTAGCGTCAAATGTGATGTGGTTTGTGCTTAGTGAGATGAGTACGTTGGTTACAAACTTAAGCGTCCATTCTGCGGTGCTTTAAATTAACTAATGCACGTGAATTTTGACGTTGTGGTCGACAGGGTCTAAACTCTGTGCCCCCCTAATCAAATTTTTTAATTATATTTTTAGTACCGTCTTTCTTACCCTCATTCTCATCCTCCTTTTCTTATTATAATATTCTCACCTTCGGCCTCTGTGTCTCGATTCTATTGCAACTTTTCTTGTGTAACTTCTTTACTCACTAACTGCTAGTTCTCTTTCTGCTAACTTTGTTTCTTTATTGAATTAGTCTAACACTCTCTCTCCCCAACCTTCCCATACTCCCATTAAGCTGCCTCCACAAGAGACGTCAAATGCTCTATCATATAATAGAGCAGTTTGCGTATGTAATATATTCAATTGTTTACAGTTGTGGTTTTACGATACAGCGAATAGCACCATCGTAAGGTGCAAGCTTAACACACAACTCAAAAGCTTTTCTAAACAGCTTTAAATACATTACCTTTCATGCTCAAACGAGCCAAATGGCTTCCGTCATTGTATCTATTAAGCTTGGAAGTAGCCAATGAGTTTGTAATTAGATGTACGCCATCGGATGATCACTTGGGGTAACCCCCTTTACCCTTAGGGTAGACGACGTTGATTTGACGTTGGATCAGCGTTGATTAAGCGAATATGAAGCGTTAAACGTTTATTCAGCATTAATTAACGAATGTTAAGCGGTGATTAAACGTTTATTCAGTGTTGATTAAACTCCTTATTGAACAGTTATTAAATGACTGTTCAGAGTTGGTTAAATGGTTATTAAGCGTTGTTTAAATTATTAATAAGCGTTGATTAAACGATTATTAAGCATTGATGAAACAATTATTAAGTGTTGATTAAACGATTATTAAGTATCGATTAAACTATTATTAAACATTGATTAAACGATTAGTCAGCATTGATCAAATATTACTCAAGATATAAACGAACTAGCTATACTGGATCAATTTTCTCTCGCTTGGTACATAGAGCATCAACTCTATAAAGCATCACCTCTATAGAGCATCGTTGAACCTTTTTTTCCATCAGAGGAAATCTCATGTCTCGTGAGTGACGACAATAGAGCAATAATGTCATTGCAATAACAGTGTCGTGATTTACCTAAATGTTAAAGTTTATCTCTGTTCATATGTAATAAGAATTCTAGACGGTATCAATTGTCCAAAAAGATAGGTTTAATATAATGTTCTTTTATAAGATTTGTATACGGTGTTTTGTGGTGAGACATTTGCATAATAATGCTTCACTGAAATAATTTATTTCAAAACATGTATGGTTTTGTTATGTATGTATGTATGTATGTATGTATGGACACAAACATACATGTATTTCAAAACATGTATGTTGTTTCTTCCTATAGTTGTAAAAATAAATAAAGTGATCCTCATTCTGTTGTTTCATGTCCTACACCTCGGCGTTGGCAGCTACAACTCAAGACGCTCAGCTATTAACAGTATCATACTGCCTCTAACCTTCTCAAACACCTGGCTTCATTTTGGACCATGATTGCCTAGGCTGATTCGCATTTTCAATATTTCCTCTTAAAATCGAATCAAATCACCTGATCATATGAAGTACTTAGAGGTAGAGCCTTGTTCTGGTTATAGTGTATAACTTGTTATTAATTAATGAATTAAAGGTTATTAAATTGAAAATGTTATTGAAGGCTCATTAAATAAACAAGGACAAGCTGAGGTTGGACAACAGCTTGGAGCTTAAGGCTTCGAGAGAGAGAGAGAGAGAGAGAGAGAGAGAGAGAGAGAGAGAGAGAGAGAGAGGGAGAGGGAGAGGGAGAGGGAGAGGGAGAGGGAGAGAGAGAGAGAGAGAGAGAGAGAGAGAGAGAGAGAGAGAGAGAGAGAGAGAGAGAGAGAGAGAGTGAGAGAGAGAGAGAGAGAGAGACCACCTCAAGGAACCACTAGATTAGCTTCATCATGAGTCCTCTCTGGGTGTACCGGGACACCCAGGACCCTGGTGGTGGGTGTACCGGGACACCCAGGACCCTGGTGGTGGGTGTACCGGGACACCCACCAGGACTCTGGGGAGCTCTTCCCAGTACGTCATACAAGGGGGGATTGCCCACATCAGGGGACGCAGCTGACGCAAACTGCAGCTTGTTATACACTACCACTGTATTCACTCCCCCAGTGACGTGCGTGTGTGAGTGTGCGTGCTTGCGTGTGTGTGCGTGCGTGCGACCTCGCACATGTGTTTTCCATAATAAAAATATAATTAAGAGTTGCCTTCTGATCCACTGTAACATAATCCAGAGCATGGCCTGAATTAGGGACAACTCTCATCAGTGTAATTAAGAATATATCTGACCTTCGAGTGAGGAATGTATGGCCTTTGGCCCTGACCTTGAGGGGAGACCCTAAAAAATCTTCATATGTGGGTTAACACTGCCTTGCGCTCTTCCTAACCGACGACATTGGGCCTTATGTACCTCTGGCCGGCGTTGGTCACGTAGGCCGCGATTCATCACGTAGTCACCTCTCCACTGGCGAAACCTGTACATCTTCCCCTCTATATATCGTGGTTTTGAGTTTATTAAACATTTTGACCCACTTGCGTACTTCTCAACTCATCTCATTATTGTATGTAATTTTTTTATCATGGAAAACAATAGACCATTTTTAATATAAAAATCTTTATTTTTTATTTATTTTTTAATAAATAACATACAAAATTTATCACATTGTAAACTATCAAAATATATATACATTTCTTTACTATGTACAGCAATGACAGTATGAAAATACATGAAAATAAATTGCATAATTTGAGATATAACTTTAATGATGACTTTGATGTGAGTGGTCGAGGGTGACCACTTAATGTGAGTGAGTGGTCGAGGGTGACCACTTAATGTGAGGGAGTGGTCGAGGGTGACCACTTAATGTGAGGGAGTGGTCGAGGGTGACCACTTAATGTGGGGGAGTGGTCGAGGGTGACCACTTAATGTGAGGGAGTGATCGAGGGTGACCACTTAATGTGAGGGAGTGGTCGAGGGTGACCACTTAATGTGAGGGAGTGGTCGAGGGAGACCACTTAATGTGAGTGAATGGTCGAGAGTAACCACTTAATGTGAGGGAGTGGTCGAGAGTAACCACTTAATGTGAGGGAGTGGTCGAGGGTGACCACTTAATGTGAGGGAGTGGTCGAGAGTAACCACTTAATGTGAGGGAGTGGTCGAGAGTAACCACTTAATGTGAGGGAGTGGTCGAGGATGACCACTTAATGTGAGGCAGTGGTCGAGGATGACCACTTAATATGGGAGAGAGATCGAGGGTGACCACCTCATGTAGCCAAGAAGCCTTGGGTCATTACTTTATGTAAACAAGGGCTCGAGGGTCACCACACCACATGAGAGAGAGGTCAAGGGTCACCATCTCCTATGAAGGTCAAGGGTCACCACTTGAATTGGAGATCAAGGGAAACACCTGGACCTCCCCATTCAGTAATCCACACCAGTGAAATTTTAGTATTGAACTGTACATAAAGTTTTGAACTGTTTTCTGTAAACAAGTTTACCATCCTAGATTTTGACACATACAGAACCATACAGCTCCTGTATGGTCCTGTATACAGGACCATACAAGATTTTCGACCATTTTGTAATTCATGAAATATAACTAAAATGGACCTAGATGTCCATTTGGACATAATGGACATAAATTACAAAATGGTCGAAAAAAAAATCCATTTTTTTTAGGGTAGACTTACACATTCTAATTTACAAATATACATTATTTCCGCCATATAAATTTTTTTTAATAAACTTTTGTATAGTCTTTATTTAAATAAATAAATAATATTATATATTGATTTTATATATCTAATTGTGTTTTATGTGTTTTAAGTATGTATACGTATGAGTGTGAATATGTGTGTTGACTGTGTATATATATATATACAGTATAAATGTCCAGGTATGCTTGTTTCAAAGAAGCTATTTAATGTAATGTAATACCATTTTTTGGTATTATTATATTGACTCTAGGTCAAGCACCCTAAGCAAGTCTACTTTAGGTCTAGTGCCCCAGGCCTATCGCCCTAGGCTCTAATGTGACTTGTTAAAACACAAAACCTACATATCCAAGATAAGTTAAGGATGCTGCAAGAAATTTGTTGTAACATAGAAAACGGAAAATAATACTGGTAGACTTTTGTATAACTGCAATTTGTTACTGATTGTAAAATGCCTAATTTATCATGTTTTTAATCACTATTGCAAAGCTATTCAAGTACATTTACTCGTTGTTGCAGTTATAATATTACAAAAGCAGCTGTGTTGATATATCTGCCAGGCATTAACAAAGAAACATTTACAAAATACCTACACAAATTCTGATCAATTGCAAATTTAAAATAAAAACGGAAAAATGAATAAATCCAATTGATTATCCAGAATAAAATCACACAAAACAAAGGCAGTGTTGATAAACATTAGTATTTTTATGAATTAAAAATGAGATCTTGTATATTGATGTCACGATGTGTTAACTATTCCTTCACAGCCTTGGAGGAGTTGATAGCCAACTTCAAACAACTTGGGAGATCAAGACACTTCCCCAAGCTGCATGGCTACTTCGAGAGGATACAACGACTGTTACAGGTACAGCACGGGTAGTAGGCGAAGCACAAGGGGCTAGCCTTCCTTTCCTGTAGCTACTGACAGGTAGGTACTGGTAGTCACTGGTGTTTTTGTGTGTGTGTTCCTTGATGGTCTTTCAGAAGCCGCAATGAGCCTTCCGTTAGGCTTTTGGCGCTCCTTAACAGCTGAATCATCAGTCGTTGCTATGTATCAACAGGTATTAGAGCACACAGTGATCGTCCATTACGCGTGTATCATGTTAGTTCACGGTAACTATTCATTATCATTCATTATACATGCGAAAGACAACCTCGCTGTCATAGTTACGACTCGTTATCACTTATTGTTTCAAAGTCTAGAGATCTGTGGCCAGTCATTACAACCTTCCTGTCACTTCCCCGCGGCACTAGCCAGGATCAGGGCCACCAACGCCACTAACTAGGACCATGGCCTCAAACACCACTAACTAGGACCACGGCTTCAAACACCACTAACCAGGACCACGGCTTCAAACGCCACTAACTAGAATCACGGCCCGAAACGCCACTAGCTAGGACCAGTCACTGCTATGCTCGACCATACCCCAGTATCACACACACATGCCAGAATCCTATCAGCATAAAGTGTATCTCCAGGTGTAACCCATATTAGCAGAAATGTCCTCTAGTCTCACGTGATAACTAGCCATTGCAGCCGCAGGATTGGACCAAGAAGTCGGGAATCTGCATGTGTTCGACTCTTTCGCTCCCAGAGCGGAAGAGGACCTGCATGGAGGAGTAGCTGGTTGGGGAACAACAGGGAGCAAGGGCCTCTCTCAAGGTGGACCTCGGAGCCTGTCGCAGCAGCAACATCTGTAATTGTAGATTATGTTAGTCGTTGAGTCGGATTAAATACATTATAGACTATGATTACATCTGTGTGTGTGCTCTTAGTGAAGAATTTTGATGTTTATTTTGTAATGTAATACCTTGTAATGTAATATTTTTGTGATGTAATACCTAATGTTCTTGTACAGAAAAGGCTTCCACCTCTTGTTCTATTGGAAGTTAATGTGAATGTTTTCTCTTTCTTTTAGTGTTTGATATATTTCTACCATCTCTCTTTCTCTCTCTCTCTCTCTCTCTCTACTCTATTATATTTATTATTTTAGTTATCCCTAGCTCTTTCAGTGTTTCTTCATACTCTCCTACTTTCAAATCTTGAATCGTACATCGTTGCAAAGCTGTGTACTTTCCAAATGTACTCTCCTATTTGCGCTTGCGGGGGTTTAGCTCTGGCTCTTTGGTCCCGCCTCTCAACTGTCAATCAACTGGTGTACAGATTCCTGAGCCTATTGGGCTCTATCAAATCTACACTTGAAGCTGTGTATGGAGTCAACCTCCACCACATCACTGCCTAATGCATTCCACCTGTCAACCACTCTGACCCCAAAAAAATTATTTCTAATATCTCTGTGGCTTTGTATATATGTGTTTGTGAGTCCGTCACTCTACAGAGAAGAGAGTTGTGGCTGACCTGAAGTATATTACTGTAGCGAGATATTCCCGGGGCGTTGGCCGAGGCTACAGAGACCCGACAGGCGCCGTGACAGTAGTAAAATGTGAAGCTCTGAGGGTGTAGCAGCCAGTTCTCCCAGCCCATCTCCGCCACGCTCACGTTGATGGCCTGGCGGCAGCATCCCCCGCCCCACAGAGATGGACACTCCCGGGATGAGCGCCGCTTGCGCACCTGTTGAAGCATCATCATCATCAATCAGGGAAAACTGCCTTGCGTTTTCTTGTGACTAACCAGTGTTACACAAAACATAAAACACAATTACATCTTCCTTCCGTTCCTTGAACCTTCCGTTCACTGTGTAATTGTGACTATCAAAACAAAAACTAGAATATTACAAAACAAGGTTCAGTTACTTAGATCCTTTTGACATGTGCTAAGCCTCGTGTAGGGTTGTTTTAGTATTGGATTATATAGAAGACCTGTCATCTATATTGTCGTAATGGCTTAGTGCTTCACCCTATAATTACTTTACCTTAAGATCTATCAACTCCACGAGACACTATCTATCTGGCCAACAAGGATCTATACCTTAGACCGGAATAACAGTTATCTCTCGTCTCGGGATAGTATCTATCTTACAGATAGATATTATGTACCCTGCAGAGGTTAATTGGCCTTAATAACCCTCCAGAGGTTGACAGACCATAATAACCCTCCAGAGGTTGACAGACCATAATAACCCTCCAGAGGTTGACAGACCATAATAACCCTCCAGAGGTTGACAGACCATAATAACCCTCCAGAGGTTGACAGACCATAATCACCCTCCAGAGGTTGACAGACCATAATAACCCTCCAGAGGTTGACAGACCATAATAACCCTCCAGAGGTTGACAGACCATAATAACCCTCCAGAGGTTGACAGACCATAATAACCCTCCAGAGGTTGACAGACCATAATAACCCTCCAGAGGTTGACAGACCATAATAACCCTCCAGAGGTTGACAGACCATAATAACCCTCCAGAGGTTGACAGACCATAATAACCCTCCAGAGGTTGACAGACCATAATAACCCTCCAGAGGTTGACAGACCATAATAACCCTCCAGAGGTTGACAGACCATAATAACCCTCCAGAGGTTGACAGACCTGCACCTCAAAAACCTCACCCAAACCCAAACAACAAAATTGCAAACCCAGAACCCACCTGAGGCTGCTCAGTCACCACGACGATAAATGGACGGTGGTCGGGGAGACGGGAGACAGGATGATGTCGCCCTTGACAGGTCCGACATGTCACCTCCACCTCCACCTCCTCCTTCCCGGAGGCCACCCACCGTTCCACCTCGTCGCTGAGGTCCACCTCCACCCAGCCCTCTCTAACACTCGTAGTCTTGTGGGAGAGTAAGGTCTTGTGGCGCGTGTTTGGAGCCACCTGGTGGAAGAAACCCCAAGTTTAACTTAGAATACAACATGCACTGAGACTTGGAATACAATAGGTCGTGAAAATACAACAAATGCAATGTTATTTATACAGAGGAATACAAACGTAGCCTTAGCAGAATGGCCGTAGGTTGCAATAGATAAAAAAGTGGTTTACATTTATTGCAACAGAAGAGATAGATTGGAAATGTAGATCATTCAGAAGAGGGAGTGGTGGAGGTAGATTGGAAAGATAGCTCCTACAAGAGAGGGTGTGGAGGTAGTCTATGCAATATATGGTGAAGAGTAGACTGACCAAGAGAGTCGTGAGGAGATGTAGAACAGAGCTCCAACAGCAGGTGGAGAGTGGTAAACCTTGCAACAGAGGGGGTGTGGGGGAGGAAGAGGTTTACCTACCTCCTTGATGGTGAGAGTCTGGTACGAGCCGTCAGCCGGGTCCTCCACCTTCCAGAGCCACAGAGTCGCCTTCTCCACGCTCGAGGACGACTTCCCGTCCATGGTGAAGAGGAAGCAGGCGGTTCGCCGGCGCCCTGAGCCCGACACTTCTGCAGAAGGAGGTGAGACATGAGGACGACGAGTCACAATAACGTGGCTAAAGTATGTTGACCAGACCACACACTAGAAGGTGAAGGGACGACGACGTTTCAGTCCGTCCTGGACCATTCTCAAGTCGACTTGAGAATGGTCCAGGACGGACCGAAAAGTCGTCGTCCCTTCACCTTCTAGTGTGTGGTCTGGCCAACAAAGCATGAGGGTAACCTCACACTACTGCAGGAGGCAAAACTTAAGGAGGTAACCTCGTACTCGTACAAGGAAAAGATTAAGCGTCATGGGGTAATTGATAATCGGAGGACCCTGTAATGGATGGCCAATCATCCCAAAAGTTACATAGTTGATTGACAGTTGAGAGGCGGGACCGAAGAGCCAGAGCTCAACCCCGTCAAGCACAACTAGTTGAGTACAGTCTCGAAACGTCTCTTGATAATTATTGTCTCACTGCAGACGCAATAGCACCTTCGTGTTACTTCGGGTTGTGTTGCATACACGCTCATGTCGTAGTCTAGTGGATACAGTACGTGTGTGTGTGTGTAGGGGGAGAGTGACACGAAACGCGAGTTCAATCCCACAGCATTGCTCCAAATAATTGTTTTATAGATTGTTCAAGCTATTATAGAGAGAGAGAGAGAGAGAGAGAGAGAGAGAGAGAGAGAGAGAGAGAGAGAGAGAGAGAGAGAGAGAGAGAGAGAGAGAGAGAGAGAGAGAGAGAGAGAGAGAGAGAGAGAGAGAGAGAGAGAGAGAGAGAGAGAGAGAGAGAGAGAGAGAGAGAGAGAGAGAGAGAGAGAGAGAGAGAGAGAGAGAGAGAGAGAGAGAGAGAGAGAGAGAGAGAAAGAGAAAGAAAGAGAGAGAGACAGACAGACAGACAGACATTCCACACACATCACCACAGAGTCAGCAGGGCAGCCCACGCCACACACACACACTTGAGAATCAGCACCAGGACTCGTGGGAACGGAAGCAGCGCTGTCAGACTCCTCCACCCAACACCAACCATCACCAACCATCTTGCATCAGCACCAACCCGACAACCTTCTCATATTTACTGCACATCAGCGCTACCTGAACCTTCTTGCAGGTAGGTAGCTCCTGTTTCACCAGCTTGTTTGCTCCAGCTGGGGGCTGAGGAGTACTGGAACTGTGGAGGGATAACTTTGTTCTCTCGTGTACCTGTGTCTCGGTCTGTCTGCTGTCTTAAGCATTTATATAAATTGTGTTGCAATTTATATAAGTACCGGCAGGGTATAGGAGTGTGTCAGGGTACAGATTGCCAGGGTACAGAGTGCTAGGGCATAGAGTGCCAAGGAATAGAGAGTCACGGTATTGAAGATGTGCCATGCATATGCACATGCTTCGAAATGTCTTAAAAATGTTTACTATACTACAGTAATGTGTTCAAATATACATGTAAACAATGTGGGTATGTGCCGTCGATGTTTAGAGAGGTCAGAATGTTTTGTAAATGTGTAGACCTTTTGGGGGCATGGGGAACGTGTGCCCAGTCTCCTCTCAAGGGTGCATAGAGAACGTGTCAGTTTTCTCTAGAGGGGAATGAAGACTGTGTTCACAGTCTAGGGGCATAGGAACTTGCGCACAGTCTTCTCTAGGGGGCACGAAGACTGTGTAAACAGTCTAAGGTCACGTAAAACATACCTACAGTTTGCTTATAGGTCGTGGATAATATGGAAACGATCTGGGAGCCCAGAGGCCATATAAACAAGCTAGTCTACGGTCATTGTGTGTGTAAAACATCAGAGAAAATGGAAAATCTTGTGGGGAAGCTCGGGAGAGACTGTTGAAAATTTTGTAGAGAGCTGCGCGTACGTAGAGAGAGAGTGAGAGAGAGAGAGAGAGAGAGAGAGAGAGAGAGAGAGAGAGAGAGAGAGAGAGAGAGAGAGAGAGAGAGAGAGAGAGAGAGATAGGGAGAGTTGTTAATTAACTAGTGTACGATGAAGATATTGGGTTGAATTATGTTATAATGTTATGTAATGACTGGTAACCGGCTGTGCTTGGGTCTCTATCTCTCCCACGCTCCCTCCCCTCTCCACCTGGCTCGTCCCTCTCTCCACATATTCTCTTCTCCTCCTCCTTCCTTCTCTTCCCGTTTCTGTCTCTGTGTTGTTGTCTGTCTGTCTTCTTGTCTCCCTCTCTCTTTGTCCTGGTCAACCCGGTCTCTTTGCAGGCCAATCTCTATCTGTCTCTGTAAGTTTCTGTCTATGTATCATGCTGTCTGTCTCTGTCCCTTTTTGCTGACGTTCTCTATCTCCGTCTCTCTCTCTCTCAAAAAAAAACTATATAACAGTTTCCCATTGGCGTGGGTGTGGTCCACTAGTGGAGGAAGTTTAGCTGGGAGAAATATTTAAAAACATAAAATAGTTTCCCTTTAGCTTGGAGAAAGGGTCAGTGCTCGAGAAACCGTTCGTAGCTGTGGGAGGAGAGTCGGTGTTTATGCTACTACGGCCAAAGTATGATAACTAAAAAATTATTGTTAATCTTTCCGAGATCAGTGCCTAATTGTTCATATTACTGTAAGAAAAAATGATTTTAAAATTGGTATTTTTCACATATTTAGCGAAACATAGTTGGCAGTGCCAAAATCAGTCGTTGGGGGTCGTCAGTATATTGACCGTGGCAAAGCTGTTCCCTCTGGACTCCTGGTGATCCTGACTAGCCTATGTCCACCCCATACCTCAGGCCATCCTCCCTGCAAAGTTGTGTGAGCTAGCCCAAAGCATCTATATAGTCTCCAGTTTTGGACAAATAGACTTTCGTCTTGTATATATACAGTAGATATAGATTAAATTATCATCTTGTTACTAACAGTTTAATATTCTGTTATTGAATACAGTGTATTATTTTACATTTAATCAATTTTGTTATTATTTTATGTAATAGAATGTTGTACAGTATTAGATAATACAGTGTTAAAGTGTGTTATATAACACAGTTTTCTGTGTTCTACAGTATTATATAATACAATTTTGTATAAGATAATACAAGACTGGGTTCTATTGTTTACTTGGTAGCGTTCATCTGTGTTATTTTATAGTGTTTTATATGTTAAGGTAAGGGAATTATCAGGATTACGTGCTTAGTCATTACAACTATATAGATGTTCTGTAGAGTTATTTAATATAATTGTAATAGTGTTCTATATATTGTTATTTCTGTTGTATAGTGTTATTTGATAGTGTTTCATATAGCAGAAAATATTATTTTTTTTAGTCCAAAACATTTTTCCGTTGTCTACACAGTGTGGCGTTAGCAATTCCAATTTATGGTGAAAGTGACCTTGCTGGCAGAGGTCACCACGTTCATAATACCTGACACCACCCCGTGCTGACGCCGGCTGACAACACACACACACGCGGCTGTCAGCGGCTGGCACTACCACAGCCCAGCCTCAGGTTAATGCTAGCAGTAGCCCAAGATACTATTAGTTTTAGTTTTTTTTAGAGGGAGACACTTGATTGTAACTAAGGCGCACCTCTGCCTGATTGACAGAAGCGTTTGTAAGATCTCATATGGAATCCAGGAGCTAAGATTCTAATATCTAGAGGGAGAGAAGGGGGTGGGGGAGGGCGGACCATGTGGGCTGAGAATACCAGACTAAGAGGAGACACTGGACACGTGAATCCCTGATGATCACTGTGCGTGTGTGTGTGTGCGCGCGCGCGTGTGTGTGTGTGTGTGAGAGTGTATTTACTATTTGTATCTGCAGAATCTATCTCTGAACTCTTGGACCCCGCCTTTCTAACCAATCTGTTTTTCCTTAATTAAGTCTGTTACATGTATTTCTCTTACACGCGCGCGCACACACAGGAAGCAGCCCGTAGCAGATGTCTAACTCCTTGGTACCTTTTTACTGCTAGGTCAATAGGGGCATCAGGATGAAAGAAACTCTGCCCATTTGTTTCTGCCTCGGCCGGGAATCGAACCCGGGCCCCTCAGAACTACGATCCACAAGCGCTGTCCAGTCAGCCACGAGACCCCCTCGCGTGTGTGTGTGTGCGCACGCACGCACACACACGTGCAAGCTTTTGCACATAAACTAAACGAGTAATTAAACCAGTCGCTTTGTTCTCGACGCATAATCGTGAATCCCGGGTTCGATTCCTGGACGCAACAAAAATGATTGGCCACATTTCCTTTTGCCTAATGTTTCTGTTCACCCAGCAGTAAATAGTTAGCCGGAGTTAGGCAACTGTTGTGGGGTTGCCTCCTAGGGAGGGGGGGGGTCAGTGGTTCGACCTTGGGGAGACCTCAATACAAGGCCAAGATATATATATATATATATATATATATATATATATATATATATATATATATATATATATATATATATATATATATTAACGAACTGCTGAAATCGTGAGAGCTCTTTGCAACAAATCCTTGAACAATAACATAGACTAAATCACTCCCCAGTGAACACAGTTTCAAAGACTGGCTTTGATATTGATGTTGTGTTAACGTTGATGACGTTGACTCCTCGTTGAACTGGTGGAGAGGAATGTGCTTGGGGCGGCCCCACACTGCTACAGTGTTGCCTGGTTCACGCTGCCAACTGCATCTTCTCCTCTTGGCTATTCTCCAACTAACACACAACCTAACCATAACTTTGTTAAAATAATACTCTCGTGGGTACATTGTTTCCACGTCAAAAATACCCTTGTGGCTACGTTTCTACAACGTGAAAAATACCCTTGTGGCTACGTTTCTACCACGTCAAAAATACCCTTGTGGCTACGTTTCTACAACGTGAAAAATACCCTTGTGGCTACGTTTCTACAACGTGAAAAATACCCTTGTGGCTACGTTTCTACAACGTGAAAAATACCCTTGTGGCTACGTTTCTACAACGTGAAAAATACCCTTGTGGCTACGTTTCTACAACGTGAAAAATACCCTTGTGGCAACGTTTCTACAACGTCAAAAATACCCTTGTGGCTACGTTTCTACAACGTGAAAAATACCCTTGTGGCTACGTTTCTACAACGTCAAAATACCGTTGTGGGTAGGTTGTGTGCTTACAGAGCGCACACTGTCCTACTTCTCTACGTCTGGTACTTTGAAGGTTTGGCATCTTTGGAGAGTCCTCAAACATTTTCAAAATATTGATGATTTGGAGTCTGTTCAAAGCCTAATGTTAGTAAGCATTCCGAACAACTTGGGGTACGCATTTGCCTCTAGGGGCATGGGGTACATGTGCCCCCCAAGAGCTTGAGAGTAAGTGTACCCCAGATTGACAACCCCCCTTGCTCTGCCAGTGATGTGAGGTAGTAGATGACAGTGTTGAGGTAGTAGATGACAGTGTTGAGGTAACAGATGACAGTGTTGAGGTAACAGATGACAGTGTTGAGGTAACAGATGACAGTGTTGATGTAACAGATGACAGTGTTGAGGTAACAGATGACAGTGTTGAGGTAACAGATGACAGTGTTGAGGTAACAGATGACAGTGTTGAGGTAACAGATGACAGTGTTGAGGTAACAGATGACAGTGTTGAGGTAACAGATGACAGTGTTGAGGTAACAGATGACAGTGTTGAGGTAACAGATGACAGTGTTGAGGTAACAGATGACAGTGTTGAGGTAATAGATGACAGTGTTGAGGTAACAGATGACAGTGTTGAGGTAACAGATGACAGTGTTGAGGTAACAGATGACAGTGTTGAGGTAACAGATGACAGTGTTGAGGTAATAGATGACAGTGTTGAGGTAACAGATGACAGTGTTGAGGTAACAGATGACAGTGTCTGGAGGTAACAGATGACAGTGTCAAGAGGTGACAACTGTTAGTGACATGAAACAGACGTCAGTGACATGACACAGCTGCCAGAGACATGAGGAGACAGCAGTGAACCAACAAAGCATATCCAAGTAGAACGAATTTCCGGGAGCAGAATAAACAAATCAGATAAGGAACAACTTGAGTGGTTCAGGGAGGTCTTGACCTACCTCTATCTGTCCCTCTGGGATCAGTGGCCGGATTGCCTTTTGTTTTTTATTAATCCGAACAAAAAATGTGTTTAATCTCGACCACACTCTATGTAACACAGATTGGAGCATCCTCGATACAAGAACTATTTCTGAATATGCTGGGTAGGGGGGGGGTGGGTGAGAGAGTGAGAGGAGGAGGTGGCGGAGGAAGAGGAGGAGTTGGTGGAGGAAGAGTTGGAGGCGTTGGAGGAAGAGGCAGAAGAGAAGGAGGAGGTGCTTGGAACTGTCCATATTTCTTACCACTTTGAGAGTCATATCTTTCCCAGTCTATTTTGCTTTGATTAAAATCCCCAAATATTAGAATCTTAGCTCACATTTCGGCTTCTCATGGGTTTAATATTTCCTTCAGGTACTTAACATTGTATTTGTCATGTTCCTCCCATGGGGCCTTCTTGTATTTTGAAAGGGATATGGACAAGGAAACTGCAGCTATCTGTATGTTTTCATGTCTCCCGCTATTCCTTGAACATATTCCTGTTGATTGCTTTCCTCTGATAATTTTATTTTTTCAAAGCTTCAGTTACGCTGTAAGGCTACGCCTCTTCCAGCTGTCCTCAGCCTTGTCTTCTGCATTACCTAGGAATTCATAAGCGCCTGAGTGGGAGCTTTCTCTATAAAACCTTTTAGTTTTGTTCCCATCATTGCAATAATGCGTGGTGGGTATTATGCCACCAGATCATGTAACTCAAGCCATTTATTAGAAATTCCATCTGCATTTATGTACTGCTACTTATCTCTGTTTGGACGTCTTTGCTTGGGGGGTTGGGGGGGGGGGATTAGTGGATTTGGAGGCTCAGGTATGATAGGGAGGAGATTGTGGCAGGGTGAAGTTGGCGAGGAGTGGCGAGCAGAGAGTGGCGAGCTGAGAGTGGCGAGCTGAGAGTGGCGAGCTGAGAGTGGCGAGCAGACAGGTCTACCACCATGACGTCACACTGGGAGGGAAGACCTTGCCCCCTCCCCCCCCCTCCCCCGGGGGTATTTTTAGCAACTGTCTCGGTAAGTTGGGCTGACATTACACAGCATATATTGTGGCTCCCCGCCCCTCCCCCCCTCTTCCCCTTGCCCCGTCCCTCTCTGTCTTACGTCCTCCAATACCGTCTTAAGTCCTCCAATACCGTCTTAAGTCCTCCAACACTGTCTTAAGTCCTCCAACACTGCCTTAAGTCCTCCAACACTGTCTTAAGTCCTCCAACACTGCCTTAAGTCCTCCAACACTGCCTTAAGTCCTCCAACACTGCCTTAAGTCCTCCAACACACCAACTCAAGCTCCGCAACAGCAACAAATAAAGTTCCATAAAAGTAACAAATAAAGAAGTACCTTTTGGGTGGCATTATAAAGGTGTTCCCGCACTGGTCTATTGCGTACAAATAGCAACGTATTAGGGAGGAAGGACAGGCTGGCCGACTGCACCGTAAGAGGTTAGAAGGACGTTGCATGTTGCAAGGAAATGTTGCCAATATTCTGAGACGTCTTAAGAAACATGAAATGATGTTCCAGAATGCAAGGAAATGTTGCTAGATTGAGAGACGTCTTAAGAAACATGAAATGATGTTCCAGAATGCAAGGAAATGTTGCTAGATTGAGAGACGTCTTAAGAAACATGAAATGATGTTCCAGAATGCAAGGAAATGTTGCTAGATTGAGAGACGCCTTAAGAAACATGAAATGATGTTCCAGAATGCAAGGAAATGTTGCTAGATTGAGAGACGTCTTAAGAAACTTGAAATGATGTTCCAGAATGCAAGGAAATGTTGCTAGATTGAGAGACGTCTTAAGAAACTTGAAATGATGTTCCAGAATGCAAGGAAATGTTGCTAGATTGAGAGACGTCTTAAGAAGCATCTTACGATGTTGCAGAATGCACTCAAGTGCTGCCAGATTGACAGAGGTGCCGTGAGAGACGGTCAAGAATACATTAACCTTTGCCCTCCCGCATGTCAAGCTGGCAGGCAAGCCTGAGGCGTCCCATTGCAAGCATGACTCACACGCTCTCACACTGACTGTTGCACCTTGCACGCGATTAGTGTGATGTTGCTATGCACGCGGCGTGAGCCATGTTGCGTGCAGTGGCCATGTTGCGTGCAGTGGCCATGTTGCGTGCAGTGGCCATGTTGCGTGCAGTGGCCATGTTGCGTGCAGTGGCCATGTTGCGTGCAGTGGCCATGTTGCGTGCAGTGGCCAGCTTGGAGTGCGGCCCTCTGCGTGGGTCCCTGAGGGCTACTGTGATGCTGTGTGGGTATCTGAGGGCTACTGTGGCACTGTGTGGGTCCCTGAGGGCTACTGTGACACTGTGTGGGTCCCTGAGGGCTACTGTGGCACTGTGTGGGTCCCTGAGGGCTACTGTGACACTGTTTGGGTACATGAGGGCTACTGTGGCACTGTGTGGGTACCTGAGGGCTACTGTGACACTGTGTGGGTACATGAGGGCTAATGTGGCACTGTGTGGGTACCTGAGGGCTACTGTGGCACTGTGTGGGTACCTGAGGGCTACTGTGGCACTGTGAGGGTACCTGAGGGCTACTGTGGCACTGTGTGGGTACCTGAGGGCTACTGTGGCACTGTGTGGGTACATGAGGGCTACTGTGGCACTGTGAGGGTACCTGAGGGCTACTGTGACACTGTGTGGGTACCTGAGGGCTACTGTGGCACTGTGTGGGTACCTGAGGGCTACTGTGACACTGTGTGGGTACCTGAGGGCTACTGTGGCACTGTGTGGGTACCTGAGGGCTACTGTGACACTGTGTGGGTACCTGAGGGCTACTGTGGCACTGTGTGGGTACCTGAGGGCTACTGTGACACTGTGTGGGTACCTGAGGGCTACTGTGGCACTGTGTGGGTACCTGAGGGCTACTGTGGCACTGTGTGGGTACCTGAGGGCTACTGTGGCACTGTGTGGGTACCTGAGGGCTACTGTGGCACTGTGTGGGTACCTGAGGGCTACTGTGGCACTGTGTGGGTACCTGAGGGCTACTGTGACACTGTGTGGGTAACTGAGGGCTACTGTGACACTGTGTGGGTACCTGAGGGCTACTGTGACACTGTGTGGGTAACTGAGGGCTACTGTGACACTGTGCGGGTACCTGAGGGCTACTGTGACACTGTGTGGGTAACTGAGGGCTACTGTGACACTGTGCGGGTACCTGAGGGCTACTGTGACACTGTGTGGGTAACTGAGGGCTACTGTGACACTGTGCGGGTACCTGAGGGCTACTGTGATACTGTGTGGGTACCTGCGAGAACAGAAGACAAGCTGGGATATGAGGACAAGGAGCTGGGATACGAGCACAAGGAGCTGGGATATGAGGACAAGGAGCTGGGATATGAGGACAAGGAGCGGGGATACGAGGACAAGGAGCTGGGATACGAGGACAAGGAGCTGGGATATGAGGACAAGGAGCTGGGATACGAGGACAAGGAGCTAGGATACGAGGACAAGGAACTGGGATACGAGAACAAGAAGCTGGGATACGAGGACAAGGAGCTGGATTAAGCGTTGCGAGATAATTGTACCACATGTGACCCACAATCACACACTCTCTACAATACGAGGATGGATTGTATTGGGACGCCTTGGAGAACTGCCAGCCCCAGTGCTGCCCTGATCACGTGACAGGGGGGGGGGAGATTTACACCAACGGCTGTATGTAAATAAAGGATGGAGTGGGGGGGGGGGAGGGGGTAGAGAATGTAAATTAAATCTGCAACGTTCCTACTGTAAATGTAAATTGCTTAGTGGTTATATCAATAGTATTGAGGATCTTACTATAGTTTTCCTCCACTACCCACATGATAGGTATGGGGTGTATAATGAACTGGTTCATATAACAAAATAATAGGTAATTTATATATATATATAAATGGTGTATATATGGACCTATTTACACACCTCAAGACCTTTGTAATGGTTTTTGTTAACGATGTTATTAGTCTAGGGGATGATGAGGGTCAGTATTATGATTGATGGTATAAGTTGATGACTTACTGTTCGTCGCCAGGAATATTGATGTTCTGGTTGATGCGGGGTTGGTGGGCGGGGTGGTAGGTGGTGGGGGCATCAACAGTGGCAAGACCCCACCTCCACTGATGACTCTGGGGATCTCCTCGCGGGATCTCTGTACATGGGGCTTCTCCTTCATCTGCATCTTGGAGAGTATCTGAGTCTTGATCATCTCTATACGTATCTCCCGGATAGCTTCGTCGGTCAGGGCCAGCGGAGACTGACTGCTTGTGTCGACAGGGTCTTCGCTGGTGTCTGGGGGGGAGGTGTGGGTGCCCAGGGCCTCCACTAGGGCCCTGGCACCACATCTAGGGCACAGGGGGAAAATATCTCCAGTATCAGTCACATCACTGTAAGTTTTCGGCTCGTCCGACTCGCTCTCACCTGAAGTCACTGAGTCCCTATTTAACACAGATTTCCTATCGTAGCCTTTGGCAGCGTCGTGAAGGGTGAGGTTGAGGGTAGTGAGGAGGAGGTGAGGTGGCGCCAGAGGCACGGAGGAGGCGAGGACGAGCGTGCAAGCCGCCACCACCACCTCCAAGCACACAGTGAGAGCCATGGTGGCCGGCATGTGAGACAGCTGGCTGGGCAAGGGTCGGGTAAAGGCCTTCCACACTCACTGCCATTAGGGCTACTACCGCGCTCACAGGGGCGCCCCTGCCCTTATATACCCGACAGGGATGCCACCAGCGTCTCTCCCATTTCTAAACTGACCAATTCCCTGTCGCCATTGACAACTTACCTCTATATAGACAACCGATAATCCACCAATACAGCTGTATGACATACACCTCGCGTATATCTAGACGTATGATGCGTCTAGGGAGTCAGGAGGAGGGCACAGCGTCCTCTCACTTGACAGACAGGTCCAGAGGGGACCAATTATATCTGGCAGAGGCGGACAAAGGCCGGGACATAACTCGTTCCTAGTGAGTGTGGAAAGTCCCACCCCAACGCCCCTCCAGCCGACGTTAGACTTATTAACTCCAGGTCATGTGGTTGAGACGCTAGTAGGCTGTGGTGGGGGGTCGCCTGCTCGGGTTGCCAAGTGGGGTTAATGGCACGGGAGAGGCAGGTTCCAGAGTATGCTCAGGGCGGGGGGGGGGGTATACACATAGTCTACCATATTTCTCGGGGTATATACACTGAATTTACCTTAGTCTTCCACTGTTTTGGGGATAATGTATACTTGTTGGTTGGTCAGTAAGGTATTGTGGTGGTCTTAATAACCCTCCAGAGGTTGATAGGTCTTAAGTCCAACACCAAACTAGCTGGTTGGTCAGTAAGGTATTGTGGTGGTCTTAATAACCCTCCAGAGGTTGATAGGCCTTAAGTCCAACACCAAACTTGCTGGTTGGTCAGTAAGGTATTGTGGTGGTCTTAATAAACCTCCAGAGGCTGATAGGTCTTAAGTTCAACACCAAACTAGCTGGTTGGTCAGTAAGGTATTGTGGTGGTCTTAATAACCCTCCAGAGGTTGATAGGTCTTAAGTCCAACACCAAACTTGCTGGTTGGTCAGTAAGGTATTGTGGTGGCCTTAATAACCCTCCAGAGGCTGATAGATCTTAAGTCCAACACCAAACTTGCTGGTTGGTCAGTAAGGTATTGTGGTGGTCTTAATAACCCTCCAGAGGCTGATAGATCATGGCCGCTCATCTTAATGAGTTTATGAGGACACATATTGTGTCATGTATGAATATACATGACACATCCCTATACACACTATTTTTCCTCTCATATCAAATATACCTCTTATGAGTATACTGGTATACCAGCCAGATACTGGCGCCTGAATCGTGGTGATCCCCTGAACATACACTATACTCTTTTGTATGACCGAGTGACGTATATATGTATTTATAGTATACATAATTAAAACCAAAGAAGTTAAAAAAAGATCTGAGGGCTTTCATTTTATTCCACACATGATCTGAGACTTTCTGTGAAATATTACGTAAGGAAGAGAGATGAGCGAAGAGATGTGAACTGCCGTTGAGGTGCGACTCGCCTTAATAGTATGACCACCTCCCTGGGAGGATGACTCATGTAGGATTATCATCAATGAAATGACAATGAAAAAATTCATCTTGATGCTACAGGAAATGTCGCACAAGTATCTCGAGGAAATTTATAAAGAAGCCGGAGATGAACTAGATCAAATCTCAACCCGTTCTCGCAAATTTAATAAGTCAATATTGACTTATTAAATATGTGCATAGGTGACATACTTAACATAATAGTTTCCCTTGAAAAGCTTCATAGAAAACACCGACCTTACCTAACCTACTTAGTATGTTAAGATAAGCATCTTATTGCTTCGTAATTACAATTATTACCTAACCTATACCTATAATAGGTTAAGTAACAATTGTAATTACGAAGCTATAAGATGCTTATTTTAACATACTAAGTAGGTTAGGTAAGGTCGGTGTTTTCTATGAAGCTTTTCTAGGGAAACTATTATGTTTAGTATGTCACCTATGCACGCAACTAATAAGTCAATATTGACTTATTAAATTTGCGAGAACGGGTTGCAAATCTACACTGACGGGTCATCTAATCCTGTCAATGGCAGGGCTGGTGCAGCATACACGGTAATTAAGGATAATGCTTTTCAACGCAGAAATGAAGAAAAAGCGCGTATTGAGAACTATGCCTCTTCAACGCAAGCGGAGCTAACTGCCATTGTTATGGTGTTAAGAGTCCTTGAACGGAACACTAATGGTGCAGTGATCTGCACTGATTCAAAAGCAGCGCCTCAAAGCCAAGTAAAAATCGGGCAGAAAATCTTGCGATAGTCGCTGAAATCAACAGAACTGTAATGGCAACCAACCAGGGAAGAGTCATCAAGTTTCTGTGGATCCCCTCCCATGTTGGGGATCCCCTCCCATGTTGGGGATCCCCTCCCATGTTGGGGATCCCCTCCCATGTTGGGGATCCCCTCCCATGTTGGAATATGTGGGAATGAACGAGCAGATGTGCTGGCTGCTGAAGGCGCTGAAGGAGACCATATTGAATACTTCATACCCAAGACTACTACAAATTAGAGGTATTGTCAGGCAACATCACCGTGACAAGGAAACTGAGGAAGGGAGGATAGAAGCACAAACCAGTGAATCTGTACGATGGTACAACATGGTTGCAGCTGGCAATCCCAATCATTATGGACGAAGAGGAGGAGGACGCAGGAGAGAATCAGTAATAGCGAGAATCCGTCTTGGATACAAATATCCATGGAGATTCAGAATGGAAACAACAGTTGAGCAGAGGAGTTGCAGAATCTGTGGTGAGAGTGACGGACACCGCCTTGACCACTATCTACGTGAATGTGAACACCTGAGAGTCATTAGAAATATGTGTAGAATAATAAACCCCACATTGTTTGAGTTAGGAAAATACCATTTGTCAAACATAGATACTGTTCTTAGAAGATTCCCCAATATTGCACCCGCAAGATATCGTAACATTTTAAGGGTTAACAGATGTTAATCTTCTTGTTTGAGGAGCTGTTCACTTGAGACAATTAAGCAGTTGGGAGGGAGCCGGTCGGCCGAGCGGACAGCACGCTGGACTTGTGATCCCGGGTTCGATCCCGGGCGCCGGCAAGAAACAATGGGCAGAGTTTCTTTCACCCTATGCCCCTGTTACCTAGCAGTAAAATAGGTACCTGGGTGTTAGCTGTCACGGGCTGCTTCCTGTGGGTGAAGGCCTGGTCGAGGACCGGGCCGCGGGGACACTAAAGCCCCGAAATCATCTCAAGATAACCTCAAGCAAGTCCTCGCTCTGTCTGGGTACAAGTGACAGGATGAACAACCCAGCGGGTTTTCTTCCTATTGGGGAGTGTTGTACATGCTGCTATGGCGGTGTGTCCACTCACAGGATGAGTGGCGCTGCCCAATACTGTCACTATGGCGGTGTGTTCACTCACAGGATGAGTGGTGCTGCCCAATACTGTCACTATGGCGGTGTGTCCACTCACAGGATGAGTGGCGCTGCCCAATACTGTCACTATGGCGGTGTGTCCACTCACAGGATGAGTGGTGCTGCCCAATACTGTCACTATGGCGGTGTGTTCACTCACAGGATGAGTGGCGCTGCCCAATATTGTCACTATGGCGGTGTGTCCACTCACAGGATGAGTGGTGCTGCCCAATACTGTCACTATGGCGGTGTGTCCACTCACAGGATGAGTGACGCTGCCCAATACTGTCACTATGGCGGTGTGTCCACTCACAGGATGAGTGGCGCTGCCCAATAAACTCGCCCCTCGGGGCAAAATTTAAAAAGTTTAATGACTGACGTTAAATGATTAAAAATGATCGAATAAGCCAACACATGTATAGGGAATCTGTAACATTTGATACGTGACATGACAATAGATGACAAAACACATGACACAGAGTTGACAATCACCATCAGTGTGTTTGCAGCTTCGTCAGATGATTGTCGCCCTCAGAGTGACAATCTCAAATTCAGTCTATTGTAATAGACTCAATCGTAAATTGTATTGTAAATGTGGTGTAAATAAAATACTCAGTCTATTGTTCTTGGGTAAAACGTTGACTTTCTTACGTTTGAATGGCTCATGTATGTCCTTGGCTTCCTGTCACGTGAGTTTCCCATGAAGGTGCTGATGGAAAACACTGACGTCTCGGCTCTGTGATTATCCGACTCCATTCTGTTAGGTACTCTGACTCTTTTCTTTTTGTTAGGTACTCTCTGACTCCCTTCCGTTAGGTACTCTCTGACTCCTCTCGGTACTCTTCCCGGTTCTTTCACCTGTTTCTTAAAGTTCAATTTCCTATTGATGTAAATGTTTCGTATAACTTTAATAGGTTCGAAATACACAATTTCGCTTCCCTTAAACAGTGTTCGTACTGGTTAGCAAATAAAATTTGGGATAATTTTGGATTATATCTATCCTTGTGGATAGATATCCGCAAAGATATTAATTATGGATAATATCCGTCCTTGTGGATACTTGATAATTTTCCAATCACACAAGTCCGCTGTTCAATGTTTCTTTCGTGGTTTTATTCGGTTAATATGTTCACATTTTTGATAATATAACTAGATACTGGATATCTATCCTTGTGGATACTGGATATCTATCCTTGTGGATACTGGATATCTATCCTTGTGGATACTGGATATCTATCCTTGTGGATACTGGATATCTATCCTTGTGGATACTGGATATCTATCCTTGTGGATACTGGATATCTATCCTTGTGGATACTGGATATCTATCCTTGCGGATACTGGATATCTATCCTTGTGGATACTGGATATCTATCCTTGTGGATACTGGATACCTATCCTTGTGGATACTGGATATTTATCCTTGTGGATACTGGATATCTTTCCTTGTGGATACTGGATATCTTTCCTTGTGGATACTGGATATCTATCCTTGTGGATACTGGATATCTATCCTTGTGGATACTGGATATCTATCCTTGTGGATACTGGATATCTATCCTTGTGGATACTGGATATCTATCCTTGTGGATACTGGATATCTATCCTTGTGGATACTGGATATCTATCCTTGTGGATACTGGATATCTATCCTTGTGGATACTGGATATCTATCCTTGTGGATACTGGATATCTATCCTTGTGGATACTGGATATCTATCCTTGTGGATACTGGATATCTATCCTTGTGGATACTGGATATCTATCCTTGTGGATACTGGATATCTATCCTTGTGGATACTGGATATCTATCCTTGTGGATACTGGATATCTATCCTTGTGGATACTGGATATCTATCCTTGTGGATACTGGATATCTATCCTTGTGGATACTGGATATCTATCCTTGTGGATACTGGATATCTATCCTTGTGGATACTGGATATCTATCCTTGTGGATACTGGATACCTATCCTTGTCGATACTGGATATCTATCCTTGTGGATACTGGATATCTTTCCTTGTGGATACTGGATATCTATCCTTGTGGATA